AATATCTAACCTCAAGCCTTTGTCAATTCAGAGAATACGATTTTTAAGTATTTACTATATTCATGTAAGGCAAATCAATGATCCCCTTGGTGCGAGACAGTTTTAATATCGAAGGTCTAGACCTTGGAACTTTACAGAAGAAAAATTTTAAAGGTTTCATTTTAAAACATTATAGCTCTTCTGACCCAGATGTTAAATGGAGAAATTTTAGTAGAGCTTCATGCTACAATGTAGGATCGTCCCAGGGACATTTCATTATATTTTGCCCAGTGGTTTCTGCAAAGTAGTCGTTTGTAGAAAAAAATGAAGACGGACGCCTAGACACATGGACGCATGATAGAAAATAATACAGACGGACGCCAGACAAATTGTGATCACAAAAGCTCACATTGAGAACTTAGTGCTCAGATGAGCTAAAATGGAATAATACGTCCGTTTTTGTCACCAACTTTCTATTTCAAAGATTGGGAAAAAAGAGTTGAAATGCTCTAAATTTGGCCAAACTCGATTTAAATGAATTCATCTGAAAATCATTTTGAATGATTAATATGTGGTATTCAGTAAATTTGTACCCTGCTTGCATTTGCGATATTGAGTTTCATCCTGTTATAAAACATGTTGAGTCTCTTTCGATGAAAGCAATACCTATTGTCCGTTGCGTGATATCCTATCCCAAAAGCTGTAAAGCTCCGCTTTAAAGTAAAATATGAAAACAAATACAACATAATTATAGGGAGAGCTACATTCTTTTATTTCGTTTTATTTTATGTTCATATTATTATTTTTGGTTTTTGTTTAAAACGTCAAGATAAACGTTAAAATGTAGCCTATGAATACTGCGGACATTTATATTCATGAATAATCATTACTCATGCATATTCTTTTACATTTCAGCAACATTAGTTTGTCCAATTGGAATAAACCCTGTGGGCAATACTTGTTACAGTTTCCATTACAATCAAAAGACTTGGGGTAATGCACGTTCATGGTGCAAAACCAAGGGAAATGACTTACTAGTTGTAAGGAACGATGATGTCTACAATGATATAAAAGGACACATTTCACAAACTAAAGGTATTGGTTTTGCTATAAACTGAGTATACATTAATGAAAACATTGCATACTTAGTTTGAAAATAAATTTTTCTTTTAAGTATGTGTTCAAGTCGTGCTATTCTTGTCATGCGGAAAGATGCAACATACCCAGACTGAATATGCAGCAAAATATTTAAGCTTAACGTGTTACATGTAATACATTCCAAACTATGTACGCAATGTTGTAATCATTGATCAAATTTAATTAACCAATTTCATTTAATGAAATGTTTAAGAATTTAGCCACAGCTTAATAAAATGCACTATGAACAGTCATATGAAATAGTTTCAGAGACTTCTATATCTCAATGATTAATGTTTTGATTAAAATATCTGACCAATTACATAAGACAAAAAACGGAAGAGTACCCCTTAAAGCAGCACGCCTCTAGATTGATGCTAATTTTCATAAAATGTTGAAAAAGTAATGAAAAGATATTGTTAAGTGAACATAAAAATGATTTTCACAGATCAAAATGGGCTAACAACCCATATAAATTATCACAATAAGGTCAAAATACGCAAAAGTAGCCCTGACTGCGTCAAAAAACTGTTAAATTGATTAATGTTTTCAAAATATATCAGCTATTATTTTCTTGATTGATTCAAGGAATTGTCAAATATATGAATAAAGATGAATGTAAAAAGGAAATATTGCATTCATATTCGAATAATAATAAAACCACAAATAATGTCATAGAAGAAGAAATTCAAAATCCACAAGTAAACAACAACAGTCTGACCTAACACAAAATAAAATTATAGTCTAAGTAATACAATACATTACACAATACATTACAATACAATGACGGACGGACATTGAATAATAAGATTACTCACTTTCAACTTATTGTTACATACATATATTATCAGAACTTTATGATGTCAGTTACATTTTAATTCATATCAATTATAATTTCATACATATATACATATCTCTTAGAATGTTTGGGTTATTACCTTGTTCTGTATGTGTTCTTTTTACTAAACATCAATTATTATAAATGTCTACTTGTTTTTTTTATAATATGCTCATATATAAATATTTATAATGTTTGATATGACTAACCTCCTACAAATGTATACATAAACATAATGTAATATAATGCCTTATATCGAAAATGAAATTATGACCATTATTTTTAATACTAAAACTCTTAAGCATGACATGTTTTATGTCAGATATAAATATGCAAGAATTAGACACACATACATATATGCATTTTAGTATTTGACAAATTGCCTTGTATCGAAAACGAGCAAGACAGATATTACTATATCCAGAAGTCATTAATGCATGCCAAGCCAGTATGACGCATACAAGGGAAATAACCATGTCAATTATAATGTTAAAGATAATCAAGATTTTGTTTTCCTTTAGTTTTTTGGTTATAATAAAACTGTAACATGGATATAAATTCTTACATTTTTAACAAGAGGATAATGAAAATACGATAAAAAGAACAAGAAAAAAGAATAACGAACATGATACAAGATATCTTCATTTAAAAGGTGTCAAATAAAGTTTGAAAATAGGAATATGTTTTTACATGTTAAGAGGAACATATGAAAATTCAGAAAAGAACTTTAGAATCTTACGGTATATAAATATTTATTAATCTCTAAGATTGTAATGTAGATTCTTTTCTAATCTCAAAGCTTTATAGACAAACATTGTTAAATTTCTTACAATTTGTACTGAATGTGAGTTAAACAGTTCTGCAGTTTTACTCATATTTGGTTTTCTTACGTAATATTGGTTGATATATCGCTTCCTAATAGAATTATACAATTTACATTCAAACAATAAGTGAAATTCATCCTCTAATTTTTGACATGCGTGACATAAGCTGTCGCTTAAGGAAATGTTACCCCATCTGACTGTTTCAACACTTAAATTGTGAGCTGACAGTCTTAATCTGGTTTAAACTGTCAAGTATTTACTTATATTAACATTTTTTAGATATAAGCTATATTCAAATTTTGCAAATACTCTATAAAGTCTTGCTCTAGATGATAAATTTATATGACTTGTTCATTCTTGAATAAAAACATCTGAAATTCTTTGTTTAGCTTAGATAAAAACAATGTTTGGTTACCAACACCCTGAGCTAGCCAAACTTTGAAAAATCCTAAATTTCCTAAAACGTCTCTGACTTGAGATGCCCACTTTATAACCCTGGGTTTTTTATCCATGTAACTTAACATTTGCAAGTAAATCAATTTGATATATTTTCGTTCAATACTACTTGTAACTTTTAACCAATATTTAATTATTCTAAATATACGCTGTGAATAAAGATCCGTTCTACCAAGTTCACCATAGATAAAATCATTCTGAGTAGAGGTTTTAACATTAAGAATAGATTAACAAAAAAGAATATGAATTCTTTCTATTTGCGGAGCTTTAGTGAAACCCCATACCTCCGAACCGTAAAAAGAATGGGTTATCTGTTACGTTATTGAGCCCCCTAAATATAAGTATGTTAAAAATCCCAATGTACAAATTCATTTGGAACAAATACAAAACAATGCGACCGTTCTAAAACTGTATCGAATAAACATGTATTAGTGAAATGAATAATAATAATTGACACTTTTAAAAACAGGTAGTGGGTTTTGGCTTGGGGCATCAGATCAAGATTCAGAAGGAAACTTTAGATGGGTAGATGGGACTAACGTTTTTAGACAACACTGGTGGGTTCCCGGAGAGCCAAATGACGCTGGATCAGAAGATTGTGTTGACCTTTATAGAAGTCCTGGAGATAAAGTCGGGTTCAATGACCATGGATGCAAGCGCTTAAAAGGCTTCATCTGTGAACATAAAGGTTTTACAATGTGTATATTTCATTGATACAAAATCCTTCAAGAGGTTACAGTTATTTTCTTGTTCGTGTTGTAATATATGTTAAATATATTCTTAAAGGTATATCCGCAAATGTAGTAAATATATCGAAAATGTTCGAAATAGGTATGATAAATTATGACTATTAAACTTTTTGTTAATTCATTTGCTTTTAAAAAAAATGAGCAAGTAATTTTGTCATAATAAAGAATATAGGATATGGTATGAGCATAATCTCTCGTATAATTATTAACAGACAAACATACTGTTAATGTATTGTTCGCTTGTAGTGAATGCCAAACACACACACCAAGCTTTAACTGTTTTGCCCTAGTGATGAATCTATCTCATTAATATTTTGCCCTTCTCACGTATCATTCCAACACATTTTGATTTGTATCTGTCTGGAAAGTTCTGAAATAATTTAGACAATCTTTATTTTCATCATCTAAATATTGCTTAATTTGCGTGATCTGATTTCGAACCTTATACACGTGAACGGGGCCTCGTATAAGGTTCGAAATCAGATCGCGTGCAAATCTACGAATGTGGTGTATGCAGTTTATTGTAAGCGTTGCGAACGTTTTATTTATGTTGGAGAAACAGGGGATACGTTGTACCAAAGACACCTTCTAAATTTATCCAGAATAAGAACCAAGTACAACGATCCGTTAGCGGCGCATTTTTACACGAACGACCACACAGTTAATGATTTTTCAATTATGGGGTTGGAAAAGCTGTACGGGAATGACAAATACAGAAAAACAATAGAAAATTTGTGGAAAAATAAATTAAGAACCTATAGACCATATGGAGTTAATACCAACGAATAACGCGGCAGACGGCAAACAACGCCCCGGCGGGCGTCGTTCATTGACGTTACGTCACTTCCATTGTTTTTTTATGTAAAATAAATGCTGCTGAAGAAGGCCGCAATGCCGAAAGCTACGGCAAATTTAAATTAGCGTTTTTGCTTATATACGGCAAGTTAGAGATTTTACTCTGAATATATATATATATCTTGATATACAATTGCAGTCAATTAGTTTGTAAAAACGTGCCTTCATGATAAGTAACAGGTGGGGGAGATACTAGTACATATTTTTCATATTCAGACTATTCAATGAGATAAAGTCTACATAGCAGTTATTCCATGGTCTCATGGACAGTGGTTATAAACATAATTGCATGATAGTTGGCAAAAACTTTTTAATTCCGTCGAGTCAGTTTGAAATAATTTACTCGTTTCTGTCTTTGCCAGCGGCACGTCTTTTTTAGGAACATGCGACGGTTATTTTTAAATGTGACCAACACAAATGAGTTAATCAATAAGGTAAGATATTCAAATTCATTTTCATCATATTAATTACATCGCAATAGACTTACGTTTTAATGATTAAGGTTTCTTTCAGTTTGCCTGCCTGCTATATGGGCTCTTCTGAGTATTGGTTTTCAAACGCTTAAAATAAGAAACCACATCGCTTTCAAAATTGTGAAAGCTCGCCGATTATTGACTGTTTGAACCGTCACGAGAAAGTGACCCTTCTATCGGTGCTCGTCAGATACTAAAGCGTAACATTGATTAGGAGCTGATTTTAATCCGATTGACCTAATTAACAAATTGTCTAGTAAACGATTAAAATCTTTATAAACCTTGTTCCTAGAACAAAATGTTGCTCTATCCCAAGGCTTCTTTACATAACCTTTTACTTTGTTTCATACTTTGCTCGGTTGTTAATTACAAGTTTCATTCAACACCATGCCTGCATGTCGAAATAAAGAGTATCTTACTGTGTATTGCTTGTTAATTCTTTTTTACGGAAATTGCCTGTTTAATTATTATTTTATTTGTAGCATTACATTCTTGACTTGGTAAGAAATAACCAATTAAAACAGTATTCAGGTATAACCCATCATACCTGCTTAATATACACCAAGTTGCTGGTGATTATGATGTTTGCCAGCTACGAGTATTATGCAGAGGGTTTATTGAGAAATTTAGTTGGTCTTGTTATGTCTGAAAAGGAAACAGACGTAAGACCTGTTTATTTACAAGTACAAATACTTCATGCTAAATTGTAATTTAGGGAATAGTTAAGGAGTATTTAAATGCTTAAATTTTGGAGCACAGTAATGGATAAAACTCGTATGACATGGTATAATAAAAAGCAAAAAAATATAGTAAAAGGTTACAAACAAATTGATAATATCTTATAACATATTCATTTGGACAGTTTGTTATTTATGTTCAAAATATCAAGATAAAAAACACTGTTTCGAATAATATTGTAAACAAAAGGATCTTCAACATGATAAAGTAGGCTTGGATAAACAACTGCCGTAGATGTTATTGACAGTTTCTGTCCAGAATGGATATCTTTCCTTTAACTAATGAACCATCAATCATTGAAACATATCCTGAACTTGAAATCTTACAGAAAATACTCAAGAGTTTTTGAACTTAAGATAATAACTCCGCTTATAAGACGCTAAATAAATATGTATTGTCATAAATCTACATACGATAAGGGTTCAAAGTATACAAACCTTTTGAAGATATCAAGTATTAATCATTAGAAGATCGATACAACACAAACTTTAAGGCAGACCTGACAACGTGTGAGAAAAAGAATTATCAGAGTCGTGATTTAAACACGCAACAATCTAAGACCTGACTTTGATTATTTGGTATATGCATGGACGTCAAAGGTCTTATTCAAATATTTTCAGCGACTCTTGTGCCTTATCTCAATCCAGCTTTTTTATTTGATAAGCCAAAGAATAACTCAAACAATTTATACTAGAAGTAAAGATTTACAAATTCACATGCTCCGATAACCTATCTTTTTTACATGATATATTTTACAGACTTTGATACCCGAGGACTCTGCATGTTTGGATCGATGGAACACTGTGGGCTTACTTATGTATGTCACTATTGTACGATAAATCCGTAAGACCGCTGTGTGCACTTGAAAATAGCACTGTGTGCACATGATAAATAAACTGAATGTGCACTTGATAAATGGCAAACAATTTGATGGAACATTCATTAAAGGCACCTTGAGAGTATTTGTTGCACATCCACCGATATCACTACATCATCACAATCATGTAATACAAATAAGAGAGACAATGAGCAAGATGTTGTATTTATACCTCACTGTTGTGAATTCGATATGGATGTATTCTCAAATTGAAGGTAAATCACACTCTTACTTCTTATTTAAAAGTAATAAATAGTGGATATTGATTGCAAGTAGGTTTAATACTGACTTTTTTGAAGGGGTTTGAATGCAATCATATTATGCGAGCCTCTGACGAGCATAATACTGTTTTATTCAACGAGATGTATTCAATCTACAAGAATGTAATATTCTATTTATCACATACCTCGTATTTAACTCATTACGCAATATAGACGCCTTTTTGAGCCTTTATAACCCCCCTCCCCATTTTTGTTGTCTCAAATGGTGAAAAATGCCTTATTTATGCCTCCAACACTTGTTTTTGTTTGAGAAATGTTGTTAAAAAAGTGACCACTTTTTCGGCGCGGCCCCCTAACCAAAAGATACATCAGGGGGTTGCCAGAAGGGGTGCCCCCTTTTTGGGGGGTTCGAAGGGGGCGGAGTCCCCCTCATCGCCAAGAAAATTTTGGACTTGTTAGAGGCTATAAATGACCCCAGATTGATCATAAGGTAACGTGTAACCAACGCTGGAAAGCATTTGACTCTATCTCAATCCATTAAAAAGTTGCAGCACTTTGAAATCAATTTTGATGGAAAAAATCAACGCAAAATAGTGACTTTTGGCAATTTTGAGATGTCCCCTCGTTGCCATGGTAACAGAAAATTTAAGCCTGAGCATGTTGTTGCAAGTGCAATGGTCCAGTCAACATTTGTGCCAAGTTTGATTAGTGTTGACGCAGTTTTTGTAGTATTATAGCAATTTGAACTTGTAACGGGAGACTTTTCAATGAAAACAGCCATTTTTCACAAAATGCTCATGAAGTAATGGGTTAAAATAAGAACGGTTTACATAAAAAAGTTTCATTTTTTATTGACGAAACGTATAGCGTATCGTTAATAATAGAGCGCTTTCGCGCTATGCACCGCTTCTGCGACTCCGTGAACATGGTATTGCACGGCTGTGCATATACGAGTATTTTGACGTGACACCATTTATGTCACATAAACCTAGCGTCACGACGTGCTAAATGGCCAAATGTTGGCGTTATACTATAAGCGCGTCAATGAAAAATGTTTCGTTTTTAATTCAAACGGTCTTACGATTTGATATGTGATAAATAGAATATCTAATTTAATAACCTCCATTAATTACACTCCTTCGCTATGGTTTATGCAATAAATGATTTTTTCTATTTGTCTAGAAAGGTCGATTGCCAAAAAAGCAAACAATAATAATAATAATATTTTTTTGATGGAATATCTTTTATTGGTCAAAGTTATTATAAAGTTTCAGGTTAAAAAGATTGTTACAATATAATTAAGAATTTAAGATTGCAGAATATTATAGGAAAATTTGTACAACATTATAATGTTCTTGTATTATTTGATTTGTCACAAACAAAACAATAGTACCTCTACTTGCTACCGGCTGAGAATAATTTTAATATTCAAATAATTCATAAATATTTACGAATCGAATCATTAATTCGATTGCCGCTTTACGAATATAACTTCTTTTGACATTTTATACCATTTGAAATACTTCGCAAATAGTTAAAACCACATCAGTTTCACTATAATGATTTCTTTTGTTATATCGACTGGTTGCAGTACGATACTGATAGGAACTTATTTACTATGTATATACAGTCACACCAAGTGATATGATAAAATAAATCGTATAAATCGACTGAAATGATGAAAGAAATAACTTTTATATGCATGCATTATTACATACATAATAATTATGCGTCTTTGTTTATGTTTAAATTTCGTAAGGCATTCGTCATGAATCTCATAAAATAGCATAATAGCGTAACTAACGCAGTATATGTTAATTGTGCATATCTTGACCTTGTTGTGGTATTTTTTGTTGATTTTAAGTACCGTTTGCTGTAAAATACTTTCTTTGCTTACTTGTCAATATTTCACTTTGTAAAGCATTTTAGACATTTTGATGAAAACATCATGAACCTTTTGGACATGCTGCCGTAATGTTCAGCATTTATGTAAAGACTACTATTGTTAAATAAGTTTATATAATGTTTCAAAATGTTTTTGTGCCCGCTTCTCTTTAATTTTAACTTAAAGCATAATATTTTGAAAACATGCAAGAATGTTCTGCGTTTTGTACACTACACAATTTAAAAAAAATGTTAAAATAGTAACTATTAGTTGCTCCTTTTTAGCGTTTGTTTGTCCAAGTGGTGCTAAAGAGGTCGGCGGTATTTGTATTAGATATCATGAAGGATCTTATCATTGGAGTCAAGCAAGAAATGAATGCAAAAGGAGGTATGGCACAGATTTACTTGTGATCAGAAATAATGCCGTTTTTAGAGATGTCCAGAACGCTGTCCAAGGGCGAGGAGGTAAACTTTGTATAATATTAAATATCTAATTAATAAAATACAGCTTATTTTATATACTCCCGAGTCCACTTTGGATTACAAAAAGGTGAAACAGAAAGATTTATCAGTAACAAACTAGCAGAATTCATTCTTAAAGCGTACAAAAAATGTTAAGATTTAGTACCTTTATGTCAAAATATTTAAGTGCGGACCTACGTGTTTATAGTTTTACAATAACGTCCGTCCTAATTGGTGAATAATTAGATTAATCTACTGATAAGATTTAAATTCCAAAAGTAAATTGTTGTAAAATAGCCCCTCAAATTGTAAAACATTTTAACGAATTCCTTTAAAAGAATAATAAACAATATATAATAATTGCAGTTGTTCTGATTCTTATATCTAACTACAACTAAATCCAAAAGTTAATTAGTTCCAAAACGCTCAAAGATTTGATATAACGAGAGGTCCTCTGAACAAATGTTCGGCTTATTTATATATGTAAAGAAGGCTCTAGATAAAACATTGTTCAATAAATCATGTACCATTTCACTTTTATAGATCATGGTTTTTGGGTTGGTGCAAAAGGTAGTGGCGGATCCTTCACGTGGGTAAATCATCAGCCTTGTTGTGGGGGATACTGGAATCCTGGTGAGCCAAATGGAGATGGAAATGATTGTGTCCATGTATGGGACAGCCAGCCTGATAAAGGTTTAAATGACGTACCATGCGACGATCCAATCGGCTATATCTGTGAAGGTCATATTTATAATTTTATGAGTTCCGTATTTAGAATATTTCATGTACAGCTTTAATAAAACATTTGTATTAAATGGTGTTCTAGTGGATTCAATTAATTCATTTTGCTTTAATTTTGAAATATATTGTTAATGATTAATAACCAAAGCCATATTATTCGGAAGAGGAATATTGAAATGGCGTTTTAAATGGAATCCACTGGTCTATGTAGAAATATACCACATAAAGATCAAATAACAAAAACGCCACAAACACAACTTGTTGGAATGTCCACCCGTGTAATCCTGGCCCCAGTCCCATATGTTTCCTTTTCTTAATTAAAAAAATTAAGAAAGGAAGACGAGTTCAGCCTTTTCACCATTGAAATATTCCATGAATTGCTACTTTGAGTACATGTAGTATGTCGGTATATAGAAATAGTTCCCTGTTTCGATGATTAAAGTTAGCCAATCTTTTGTATATTAAAATATACATTATTGCACCAAGTCATGTACATTTACTACATTACTGTGGATTCAAGTTATGTGCCGATGTTCAAATACAAAGGGAATCAAAATTTATGTATGTTAAGAATGAACGTATAATATATGTTCAAAATGCAAGGATATTTTGACAAAAATGTGCACACGTTATCATTACGCCTATCGTTTGTATAGGCAAGCAAAGCGTACAGCACGTTCATTATCTCTTTTGTTTTCGTTTGTTAACCTGTTTTTGTTGTTGCCTTTTTTGTCTTTTTGTTTTTGTTGTTTTTGTTGTTGTTGTTGCTGTTTGTTGTCGTTGTTGTTTTTGTTGTTGTTGTTTTTTGTTGTTGTATTTTGTTTGTTAATTTTTCGGGGGAGGGATGTGATTAGCGACATAATGTAACAGTATCATTCCGAGGTGATTACATATACTGGCTTTATGTTTCAGTTGTACGATAAATGCTATGTTAAAGCTGAATTCTATCTTAGCTTGATATATATATATATATTTTAAACCCAGCATGAAGCAAATTACTTACAGCAGTGCTTCGCAACTTTTAATATTTCTAATTTATTCTAATCCTTCACTTTTTTATCTACTTGTAAGTGAATTATGGGCTTTATCATTTGTCAGCAAACAAGAATTTACTGATCAAAGCAATTTCAGCTGTCAGAATGTTATTTCCATTTCGGTTGTTTAAGTGCAGTTAAATAAAGAGGAAAATAATCATAGTATATTTTTCAAAGCTTCAAATGTTATATTTTAAGGTTTCATAACCTGTGATCCTTTCTCAAAATTCACCATCATTTATTGATGAAATCATTTCTGTTAAAACTTTTGATTTTTTTTCTCAAAAGTTTAGTAATTATATTTATTATTATTATCCACCACACAAGTGTTAAGCTATGTGTGAGGTATCATTGATATTTTATTTCCAATTATTCAAAACCAAGTATTTTATAATAAAAAAAGTAGTTTGGGTATATGTGTTTACAGCTATATTGACAACGCCATGTCCTTGAGTGTGTTGGAATAAAATGGAACCAGTCTATTTTGTAGTACGTCTTTGTATGTTATTTATAGTTTCTTTTTCAGCACGTTATGTTTCTAATAATAAACTCGACTCTAGTGTCTTGATAATCAATTAGAGTTTACAACTGTATTTTATGATTACCTTTCTTTCGAAATTATTATTTTTATTTTTCTGCAAAGATTACATCAATGTCACTTATCTAATTGATTAAAATAAACTAATTACAATTTTGCAATTACCCTTCTCTTTATTTTAAGGTTTCATAACCTGTGATCCTTTCTCAAAATTCACCATCATTTATTGATGAAATCATTTCTGTTAAAACTTTTGATTTTTTTCTTAAAAGTTTAGTAATTATATTAATTATCCATCACACATGTGTTATGCTATGTGTGAGGTATCATTGATATCTTATTTCCAATTATTCAAAACCAAGTATTTTATAAAAAAAAATAGTTGTTTGGGTACATGTGTTTACAGCTATATTGACAAAGGCATGTCTGTATTTCCGTGAGTGTGTTGGAATTAAATGGAACCAGTCTATTTTGTAGTAAGTCTTTGTATGTATTACACGTTTGTGATTTATAGTTTCTATTTTCCGCACGTTATGTTTCTAATAATACACTCGACTCTAGTGTCTTGTTTACAATTATATTTTATGATTACCTTTCTTTCGAAATTATCATTATTATTTTTCTGCACAGATTTCATCACTGTCACTTATCTATTTGATTAAGAAAAACAAATTACAATTTTGCAATTACCTTTCTCTTTATTCTTTAATTGTCACTTACATTGTACCTAATCCATGCTTACATAATATGTTAAGGGTATATAAAATGTAACTAATAAGCAACGATGATGTAGCTTATATCTTATATTGAAATATAGAACAATAATAGGTATCTTTTACAAGAAGTACAGTTTTCAAACTGAGGCGATATATTTTGTGAAAGCTGTTGTGGTACACAATTTAGAAATGTATAAATCTAATCGCTGGATGGTGCCGGATTATTCCGGGTTAAGAATTTTGTCCTTTCTTCTTTATAACATAATTCCGGGTTTTTTCAGATCTTATAGTTGTTAATATGTACATTTTGATTGACAATGATAATCATTCTCTGAAATATGATTTGTCTATGATTAATGTTATCACGTTAAAAGGTGAAGGCAATTGTTAGTTATTTATATATATATACTTAAATTTCATCTTTTAGATGAACGTTAAGCAATCTTTTACACGAAATAATCGTCGCCACCTGACACAAAAACTCGGCTCTCAGTTACATATAGTAACACATGCTTTTGACTTTGTCATAAACTTTGCATTCTGGTTCTGAATTGCCTTTTTTTAATTCATTTAAAGATTCTGTATGTTGATTGTAAGGATATAACATACTGAATTTTTTATACACGTTTTCAACACAATGTTTAAACATCCAAGAATTGCTTACAATTGTACATAATTTTTTTATAGAAAATTTGTTCAATACTTTATCAATTTTTTTATATATCCTCCCTTTATTTACATGAACTGTTACATTTGGTCCTATATTAGTAAGGTATGTTTTTATAACTTATCATATTAATAATTCTTCATTCAGCAGTATTAGGTTTATTATATAAGACCACAAAAGATTTGAGGTACAGGGACCTTAAAGGATGTTGCAATCCGAAATCTATACTCATTGAAACACAAATCCCGGAACTTACGTATAAAGATCATGCGGACTTTACTAAAAACGATTACTTTTCAAAGTATTTACAAACAGTGTATTAGATATAATTGTTGACTCATATTTATTATTACAGAATGTCCAGAAATTGACCTGTGCGAACAAAGACATTGCACACAAATTTCCGACACTGTCTGTGACAAATGTATAGATGACAACGTGTTCTACAAACGAACTCATTTAAACACAAAATGTGAAAGTATGTACTGTGCTAGTAAAATAATTATTTTGAATTTCATAGTATCTGATCCGCTCTCAAATAAAATCTTATTTAGTTCCGCCGATTGTTTTCTTGATTAAGGCGCATTTATTAATTAGCTACCCGCCTACCACGAAGGTATCAAATTAAAAGTTGCAATTACACCTTCAAATGGAAACATCCGCCGATATTATCAAATTCAACTTTTTCATATATAAAATGTGCCAGGGTATGTTGACGGTACCATTAATAAAACATAACCGGCCTAACAAAGTCGATCAAACTGAACCAGCTTCGGGATTCTTCGTAGTTTCCACATTTGATCATTATGATATTTATTGCGTGTCAAAACCCTTAAAATGGTTAGATGATGTTAGTTAATTGCAAATAACAAGACATTTGCATGTTATGTTTGCAAGATAGTAGAGAATACTTTAAAACGCTGATTTTGGCACTGATTTTATTGTACAAAAAACATGGATTTAATGTTGTGCATATCTTGGTTTTTCCCCTGTAGGAATGTGTTCATTTGACGACAATCCATGCTGGCCGGGCAGATGTTCTAACGAACTAACGACCAGCTGTTCATGTGCACCGGGATTCGTTCTTGCAAAAAATTCAAGTCAAACTATGTGCCAACGTAAGAACATTTCTAATTTTATTTTTTTTTCTTGATGTCTCAAATACAAATATATCAGTGACAGAATACATTAACAATATTTATACCCAGCAAATTAACATATAGGCCAAACACATTGATGCATGTTGATCTACAAATAAATAGTTTTGGACTTTACTTTCATTTTTTTAATCAGACTGTGTCTTTTAGGCAATAAGTCACACGATACGTAAGAGATGTAAAATGATTGCTTATTGAACAAACTTGTTTACAAGATTGTATATTATGTTTTTTATCTACAGAAGAAAAGAATGTATATTCATTTAGCACAGTCATGCAATTTAATAGATAGTTTAACATTGCTCGTATTTAAATGTAATCTTCTTTTGATCTTGTTTATGTTACGGCTTTCAATAAACGAACATCACGAACCGTTATGTACATTGATAGTTTCATTAAATGCAGATATAAAACAGTAAAATGTTTTTATCCGAACATAAACTTCCTTTTAGGGATTGATTGACTGCATGCATTCGTTATATCACTTTCTGCTGTTTGTGTTTAATCATTTTATTGGCTAACTTGTCGAAATGGTAATCTTAAGACTTGTTTCTGCATGGGTCCACACCAGGGGCAAGTCGTTTTTTTCTCGTGAGCAAGACCCTCATTTCTTAGTACTCGTTGGTTCCAGGAACGGATTTGAGAAGTTTTCAATAATATTATAGCTTCCAACACAACCGAATTTAAATAAATAATTATTTTATACATGACCGTTACATAATTGAAATTTGTGTTTTTTGTATTTATTTGTCCATGTATTTAGAACTACTACTAAGTTGCTAAAACGATGAAAACTAAATGTATAACGTTGAAATGTCTTGTAAAATATGTAATATTATTTTGCCAGTGAGTGCCTCTAATACGCCTTCAATCAATAATTGTCAAACGCGAGTGGGTGGGGTAAATGGTGAAGCTAAAAGAACGACGGCGGGAAAATGTCAGGATCTTAAGGATTTCTACGGCAATTTTCAACCAACAACTATATCTATTGACATGCAGTCCGATTTTATAATTGATGTCACAGCTTATGCAACAAAACGGCCAAAATTCATTAGCGAAGAAAAGTTTGGCATTTCTGACACCTCTATATACCTACAAAAAGAACAGATCGATGGTAAAGAAAGTTTGCATAATGATTATTTTTCATTTTTCATTCGTTATGACTTTTCGTGTTAAATATCAAGACTTAAAGCTGTTCATAACAGAACGTAGATCTATGAAATATAAAGTTCAATATTAAAGTGACATTGCTCATTTTTTATTTTCATGTTGAACGGAATTGACTTTTATTTCTATAAGATTTACTGTTATGATGTTGATTGACTAACAATTGATGCTGGGAATTTTTAAGATGAAATATGAAATATAAATCTGCTTAAAATAAAATAAGACTGTCCCATTCTTTTCAAAAATTGAATGTTACAGGTAATTTCCAATTTCTAATTACTTTTCGTTCTTGCGAAGTAAGTAAGTGTTATGAAATTTAAACAGAATTATGGCAATATGTAAACTTATTTTGACTTTCACCTGTTCACTCTCACTATATACATGTACCTTTGGATGGCCACAATGCCATTTTAATGTCATGTGTATAGTCTATTCCAGATAAACCGCCGCTAAAATATATTGCTTAAAAATGTTTTTTAAAGATTCTGTTTATACGTACTATTCCAAAATATAGGCAGGAAACGAACTATTGAAACACAAGTGCTTACATCTGATAGAAGTCACAGTGAAAATGTTAAAGAGACAGATGCTCATGAAAGCAATTTCACCTTGCCGCAACCAGAATACAAGCTTGCAAACGGTGAAAGGTAGGTATTTTATTAATTGTAAGATTTCATTGCTGACTTGTTAAGGTATCTCAAATTGCCTGAGTATATAGCGTTACTTTCGTTCCAAGATTGTACGGCAAAGGTGGTAATTTATGACTTAATAATGCCTAGATGTAGCAGCTGAGGTAAAACAGAAATTAAAAGGCATGTGATACAGTAACACAGATAAGAATATCATATAATTTATTTCCATTGTGCACGATCTTAGGATATGATAATGATAAGCGAATAAATTGGGGGTCAACAACATTGTTTATGAATAGTCTACCCATTAATTTGTTAAAATTTCAAAAGCAAATAACTTTTACTATAAGTCTTATCAATCTAGATTTTACCATTGCTATATGTTTTTTTTATTATTTTTATATTCATGGATTTCCATCCGTTCATACAGTATAAGGACAACGAAACCTTATGGGCACCGATATGAGTTAGCTTATTATCATTATTTTGAATTCCATTTTCAAATATTAGCAAATATTACCATCACTTTTTTAATTATTTTAAGTGTTACATCCACATTTAGCGTTTTGTCCAAATCTGAATAACCTTAGCATATCAAGAGGAATTGATCCTGCAAAATAAAGTGGGCTTTTTTGTTGTTTTTTTAATTGGTTACATTTTGCACCTAAACATTTCAAAAAGTGATTTTAAACAACAAGCGAGCATTGCTTTTATGAATACATGCATAAGGTGAAAGAAACTCCAATATTTACAAAAGAAAAAATGGAACATAGGTTTAGGATTTTTAAAATTCCAAATTTTATCAATTCATGTTAAATGTTAAATTCTGTTTAAGCCCGTGAGAGCATGGACGGTAACTTACACTTTCCAGTACCGTCCATGAACAGAATCAAACCAAGCCAGCAACATTTTCAATATTTTGTCTTTTTGGGTGTTCTTTAGCGGTTCTTTAGTTCTCTCTATTTCAACAACTAAGAGAGCGTCTTATCCCTAGGTCACAGTCATCTCATATAGTTATCAAGAAAATGTCAGAAGTAAACACATGATTCAAGATCTAGAATTTCGTTAAATACAAAGAATAACAATGTTTAATTAAATTTAGATATAGGCAAATAATATAAAACATTTTTGGCAGTGGCTAAAATTAAGAAGAAATTAGCGAGTTGTTTTTAAAATAGACATGTTCAATAAAGGTTACTCGATAAACAAATTGAAATGTTTATTATCCTATGTCTTTTCGAAGACAAACGAGGGATATAGAAATGAACTAAAACATATGTCGGTCTTTCAGTCATTCTGGCTGTCAAACTTCGTGTCTGATCAATAACTCGTTCTCTTAAAGATTTTGAAAAAATGGCATTAATGTTCACTAGAAAAGCGGCGTGTTATGCTCAACAACCTCACCCTAATCTCAAGCATCAAAGTCACACTTGAATTTTAAAGGTCAATATAAATGTTATGTTTCCACTGTATTTTATTATACATCTATTATTTATTGTTGCAGTTCCAGATCTAGCATTTATTTTGTCTTGCACCGAAAGTCCAGATTTAAAACTCACACTTCTAAAATCATACTATTGTGTGCTTTATGTATAACTTTCATGAAACGGATGATACTCTATTACAATTTCTTGTTTGCTGAATAGCGCATAGCAAGTTTTATGTTATAGCTATCATATCTGCGTATAAAATCACTTTACCAACGAAGCTATAGAAAATTACTAAATAACAAAATGGCTCACGGAAGTTATAAATACCAACAGAAGCATGATTTTTCTACGGGGTCATCTTTTAACCACATCCGTAAATTTCATACCTGTAAATTTCACCTTTAAGTGTTCACAATGCGAAAAAAGAATTGATGATTAATCAAAGATCATAATTATATCAACTTTACGTGCAAAAGTAACATTTAAATAGTTATTTTTGGGATAAAACATGAAAAGATAATTCATTCATGGTCACGTTCCAAAACAGAGGTTGGGAAGAATTCCGTATTTGATGCGCCGGAAAGTATTTCATTTCAATGTTGGTTAATATCTAGAGCATATGTTTAAATCAATATACTAGACTACATGTAATTATATATGGTGTAATTATCTAGTTAAAACTTTTATCTTTCAATGCCACACATTACGAGAGATATCTAAAACAATGCAGTTTATTTTTCATTTCTCTTATGATTAATACGATCCTGGATCCCGTGCGTCCTGTTTCCAGATTCCGTTATTGTCCTCTTCAGTCACGTTGTACTAACAGTAATTCGTATTAAATAATAACGTAGAATAATAAATGAATGTATAACCCGAAATGGGAAAAGGGACGTATTTTCGAAACTCAAATGTTAAATATGAACGTTTAAAAGCAACATTTCGATCTCTTTCAAGTATTTTATGTATATAAAGAGAATTTTAAAATATAAGTACGATTGAATATTTTCTGCTTTTATCCGCAGGCATGCTGCTTTAATAAATAGAGGATATTGAATGAGTGATGGGTCCATACTTCATTTATTTTGCGTTTGAATATAATCATATTCTGAGAACTAGAGCTTCTGTTTTATACAACGAGATAAATCAATTTAGTATTGAACTTACACAAATCCAAAATAAGAACGATAACTGTAAAAAGAGGCATTTTTTTCATTGACGCAGTTATATTAACGTGCTTTTACATCATTGTTAGTATATCGCTAATGGCGTTACACGTGTAACATCGTTTCTAAGAAATAGTGGTATTAAAAAGGGTAGGTTCAATACTGAATTTATAGAAAAAATCGGCTAAAGTATTTTCTGCGAGCATCTGGTTATCATTTATATCTTATTTAACTATTGCAATAAATTAAGTAATGGAGCTACACAAATGTCTTTTCTATTTAACACATACCTAAAATAGGAAATGTGTACAGTGCAAAATGAATCACATTTTCATTGACACGCATAAAGTATAACGCTACCATTTACGTCTTAACGCTATGTCGATAGAACGCAAATGACATCACGTCAAATATATACACGATCGTGCAATACCATTTAGATTACAGAGTCGTAAAACCGGAGAGGGTATGTGATAAATGATTTTATTACACTCCTGCGCATCAGTTTATGTGATAAAACAAATTTCACAAACTCTTTCTTCCAATTATACAAAGCCATTTTGTTTCGAATGACACAATAAAAAAGTTTTACAATTTTATGACTTTGTAAACGTATTGCACAAAAAAATCGATTTATATTAAAAATGAAATGTTATCGGTTGTTTTGAAGGCTCTGCATTCAGTTCGAGGCAAAAGGAGGTGGCTATGTAAAAAGAAAAGACTTTCGGGGTTTTATAACGATTAAAAATGCATTACCATACACAAAGACCTCAACGACAGAAACCATTTGCTACCGTTACGACGACTCAAGCCCGGAGCATTGCCTAGAGAAAAGAAACTGTATTGGTGGTGAAACTGAACCTTTGCAAATATCTAATCGTATAACAAGATCGCCAATTATACCCGTTACATTTTCTGGTTGGATGGATCCAATACCGAGAGGAGGAAACAGCTTGCATGCATCTCAGATAGAGTCATATGAAATAACTGTTAACGAAGTAAGTAATGGATTAGTTGATACAAAGAAAGTATATAGCACCAAAGTGAACGTCTCGGGATCAGTTTTGACAAAAGCGACTCTAAATCTAACGTCTGATACACCTAGACTTTATTCAATAACATTAGAAGTTAAAGATGTTGCGGACAACGTTCGACAAGCTCGACGTTTTGTATTATATGACAATACAACAAGCATCACTTCTAGGGCAGATAAACCATTCACCATAGTATCTGCTTCAATCGCTACAAATTATACCTGGCAGACTCACCACAATGATATTTGTCTCAACTGGAAAGATTATTTCTTTAACAAATATTACATGGTCAACCAACTCCTAGGGAAAATAAATCCTGATAGTCATGGACTAATAAAAGGAATTTATGAACAGAATAATGGAGTTTTACCTGTCTCAGGTACACCAAATGTTCATGGAATCACAGGGTTTAAATTTTCATGGGGCAGAGATGGTGTTATAACTTCGTCGGACACTATTGTTCCTAAATTCCTTCAGCAATCGTACTGCCATTCGTTTAACCTCAGAGATGGTCAGATATACAATGTGCGCATCGAAGCTATCGATATTGTTAATAATACACACGCTGAAAATCGAACAGTTTATATTGACAGATCTGTACCGCATATCAATAATATTTGGCTTATGAAAAATGGAGTAAAACGGTTATTTGTACATGACGGGACAGATCTTTCAAAGATGAACCTAACATTTGAAGCGCTTGATCCTCATAGTGGTCTATTGAATATTGAATGGACATTTGAAACCATGGATCCTAAACAGCAATTAGGCACAGGTGTGATCGGAGTTTCTCAGTTAGAGAAAGTAAGCTTTAATGTATTTGATGTTTTAAGATATTCTAATAAATGTTTTATAAGTTCTTATCGTTTAAGACAAAAAATGTAAGATATATTTACGGTTGCATCATGGTATTTCTGAATTATTGAAAAAAAATATCGGAATATTTTATAAGTTTTATCATACTACCCAGAAGTATTTTAACTAGTTACGTTAGCGGATACAGTATCATTCTGCATATATAGTCAAAACTTAATACTCTCGAATCTCTTCTATCAAAGATATAACAGCTATAAAGATATGCATCATATAACATATTTACTCACTGATTTTAACGTAGAGCAATTTCATTTCTAATTCTAAATGTCAATTTAATTTACAGGAGAGTTGTCCCAAAAACCTCACTGACAGTTGCTATTGTCCTGACATTGGAAAATGTGAAGATTTTAAGTACAGTATTCCACTGAACAAGCTAGTTCATGCTAACAAACATATAGGAAACCACAACCGTAACTATGTCTTCACTATCAAAGTAACAAACAATGCAAAGCTTTGGAACATAGAGCAGGTCGATATCTTAGTAGATGATTCTCCTCCAGAAATTGGAGTTGTATACGAAGGTAAGAAAGAAATTATAAGCTATTAAAGGATTTCATGATCAGAAATAAAAGTTGGTACATAAAAGCATGAATGAAAGTTAATGTTTGAAATTTGTTTATCAATTCAACTTGCCATGTCGTTGTGTTATGCTTAATTCTTCTCTTAATAGGTTCTGTTGGTACGCAGGATATTGACTATACAAGTGACGACAGCTTTATTGTCAGATGGCATGGTTTTATCGACCACGAGAGCGGCATCAAAGAATATCGTTTGGGCTTGGCTGATATATGTTTTGACAATTCAAACCAACTTCTCAATGACTCAGATTTAATATCAGAGTTCACTACTGTATTGCATACTGAAACTTCTATACGACTTAAGGCTAATTTCACTGGCAAGAAATATGTAAACCTGATTGCTATCAATAATGCACTTGAGCCTTCTAATGTAGCATGTTCAGATGGCATCACAAAAGATAATGTAGCACCATCTATTCGTAACATAAGCATTGAACATGGTAAATGGTCAGAGTCGATCACTTGTCTTCAGGGAAATGCTTGGTTACTAACTTCGGATTTAAGAAAAGAAAGGTTACCAGATAGCACTGAGTGTACAAAACGATGTGCAAATGACACTTTAGAATCAGCCATACTTGAGCTTTTGCCAAATGTCGCCGGGCCTCTAAACAATGACACAGACATTGGTGATTTCTTATGTAAAAAGCTTCCGAGACATACATACGATACAATAATATATTTACCAAATGACCGTATTGTTCTTAATTGGGATATTGCCAAGGGCTTAGCTCAAATTGAAGACTTTACTGTCGGATTAAGTCAGACGTCAGGACACTCATCAGCTTTAGACATTATGGACTTTGAACCTACGAACGGTAAACAGTTCTTCCATATGCATCATATAGGGGTTGGCTCGGGAGATTTGTTCTATATACATGTCAAAGCAATAAGTAAAGCACACAAAGAAGCAGTATCAGTGATAGGGCCTATCATGATAGATGAAACTCCACCATACTTTAAAGAGACACCTAGTGTAACAATCAGCGGCGATAAGCTTCTTGTCGGTTGGAAAGATGATTCTATTTTTGACTTAGAGCAAAATGAAAAGATCAATCAAATCTTTTTTCAGATAGGTATTGTTACTTTCATTGTTTCATTCTAGTTTTAGAACAGTTTATGTGCTTAATTTGAAAGTACTTTAAATGAAAACAAGGCGACGTTATGTACGAACTGCTCATTTAATTGATGTAATTATCTTTAAAAAAATACTGTGTAGGAGTCGTATAATTTTATTATATATAATGTAAACTTAATGTTCAATTCTAACTATATTTAATAGTCATACTATATTAAACTAATATCTCTATTTCCCAGTGCACGACGGGATTACTGTAACACCATTGCTTGAATGGCGTTTGGATGACGCAGAACTATGCTCTAGTTATCCAGGAGGTTGTTTCAGATATCCTCTTGAAAAGCTGCAAAGAATAGATACAGATAAAGGACTGCACTTCGCTGTTAGATTGTACGCATATAACAACGCCGGTCATTTTACTATCAACGAAACAGAATCTTTTCAAATTCCATCGCGATATCCTCCAGGTCAAGCTGTTGTTAAAGATATAGATCCTGCAAGAACTGCTAGCAGTTTAAATGGGAATTACCGAGACGTCGATGTTCATTTTAAACCTAACACAATATGTTCTCAATGGATCGGTTTTAAACACCATGAACAAATACATATAGAGATCGGAATTGGAACAGATTGGACACAAGCAAATGTCATTCCATTTCAATACACAAACAATTCAAAAATGTCGTGCATCAGTTCGCCAGATATACATTTTGATACCAAGTACTTCGTTCTCCTTCGTGCATCTTGTTCTGGGGGAAACACTACGTCTACGTCCAATGGCTTAACAGTATTGAATAAAACTGATTTATTAAATAACATTAACATCAAGATTGGACATACTTTCACAAATATTAGTACAAGGTCTTTTGTAAATGGATCCTCACAAGAAATTTGTTTTACAGGTGATTCTGACATTGGTGCAAGATATGAGCTTTATTTATATAATGCTTCTTTTGACCTAAATATAACTTCTAACGACATTTTTGAATATAGCAAAATGTATGACAGAAGTAATAAAAGATTAAAACTTGAAATTATACCCTTCATCAAACGTCCTTGCATGATGATTAGTTCCGACATAAGTAATACAGTATTTGCAGAGCTTCGTAAAAAAGAGTACGACGTTGTGAATGGAAATCGGTATCTTTATGTCAGTTGGAGTTACAAAGCGTCAGAACTGTTACAGAATTTACAGTTCAAAGTTGCATTAGCCTCATTCCTTGATTCTAAAATGATTCGCATGTCTAGCTGGCAAAGGTCATCAGGCCACACAACTCACGTGTTTGCTCAAAAGCATATTTTCAATTTGGGAAATACATATGCCGTTGCTCTGATGTCGTGTACTAATGTCTTCTGCTTAAACTACACACTGTCGCGCCATTTTAAAATTGAACGCAACATTAAACCAGAGAAAATAGAATATGCAGCCCTAACCGTTGAAGGCAACAACAAATGCATCGCTACAAATATATCTTGGAGAAAATTCGAATCTATGAGTGAGATTACCATATATCAATGGTCATTGAGCCGAGACAAAGCTGCAAATGATGTGTTGACGGAATGGAAGGTCATCAAATCAGCCACTGCAGTAAATAGCTACAAGGTTATTTTTGTGAATTTCCGTAAACACAATTATGATAAATATAACGACAAATACATTTGATATCAGTGATCTCATTTATGTAAAACCACAATGATGCAGACAATATGTTTTGAAAAAAAGTCTAACATGCATTTTCAGCAATGGAAAGCAAGTGTAAATTCAAGGGCCAAAGATTTCATATTTTAGAATAATATTGCATTATCAAGCCCGTTCTAGTTATTTTCTATATCTGTATGTATGTTTGAATAAAACAAAACGCATCAATTTAAATAATTTTAGTAAGTATGTTATTTATCGACGTAAGAGTATACCAATGAATATTATAAGTCAGTGATCGGGAACGTGAAAGATGAACTTTACAATATTTTATATACTCGATCAAAGCAAGTCTGCTGTTGTTTTCTAAATTGTTTTTTTATTGCTCTTGACTGTAAGAATTGTTATCAATAAATACAGTTCTCACAATTGTCTTTATTTTTACAGGTTGAAGAGTGTGTACTTTTACCTGTGCACGGACACACTACTTTATTCGCTTGCATAAGGGCATATTCAACAGCCGGTAACGTTGCAATAGAATGTACAAAAGCTTCAACTATCATGAAATCCGTGTACGATATAGACACTGTTTACGATATGGATATAGGTTCAAACTCATGGCAAATGATTAAAGAGGTACAATGCTTTTGTCGTAATTTTTATGGGGGCTAAGTTCTCTTTTTTAAATACTATTGTAGTTGATGTGTTTTGAAATGCGACATTTCATTTCTTACTTCATTGAATTTTTTATTCATTTGAAATTGTTATTTTAAACCAAGACTCTGTACATTGTTCCAATTTAGCTTTTATACTGAAGTGACCAAAATGAGACATTTTTAGAATATTTTAAAAGCGGGAAATACTATTCAAAAGACCAGAACCTTTATATACAACATGGTTTTATGTAGGTAACACGGATAGTTTTGCCTATATATGTGTCATGATTTCGTATTAATAAGCTTAAGACATATTTTAAGATTTTTCAGTTTGGTCTCTCTTTGTTTTCCTTTACTAAAAAACATGATAACAAAAATAACATATAGCTTGCAAGTTATTAAAGTATAGGAGAACTCCGGAAGAGGTAACAAAGTAAATTAATCAGATATTTACTTGACATAGCACTGGGGCAATATTTGTAATAATTGATGTAAAGTGACAATTTACGTCTTATAAACTTGTTCACATCCAATATATTCAAAATAATAAGGATATTTATCACAGTTTTAATTTTATTATTGTGTATCATATTTTCAAGATGCTTCATAGTTCAAACTTAGGAAGTAAGATGTCACTCCTGCATGACAGGGAGGTAGATTTTGGAACATCTGAAACTCTCATTGCTGGCGTATTGATGCATGCCACAGATCGTAATGTCACGTGGTTTTTAAAGAGAACACCAGAATTAGCTAAATCGATAGACTGCGATAAAGACAAGGACTGCGTCCATTCTGCAATAAGTGATAACGGATTTATGCCATTTGACATGAATCTACTCAAACGGAACGAGGTTTTCTATATTTGTGCATATTCAAACATGACTTTAGTGCCTAGGGAGTCATTTGAAGATATACTCCCTGAAATCAAGTCATGCAGTAACGGCTTCATAATTGACGATGTTTCACCTACGTTGGGAAAAGTTTTTGTGAAAAACTTTGGTGGGTACCTGACAGAATCATCAAAAATAGATATATATTGGAAGGGGTTTGATGACAATACCGACGTGAACAAACTTGGATATAGAGACAGAATAAAGTATTATTCCTATTCAATAGGTATGTTTACACATTACATAGACAATTTCGTTTCTTCATTTTTATGCCCCCACAATGTGGGAGCATATAGCGTTGCACTTGTCCGTCCGTCCGTCCGTCAGTCCGTCAGTCCGTACGTCCCGAAATCTTGTGAACGCAACTCCTCTTAAACCGGATGTCAGATTTTGCTTAAACTTCCAGGGATTAACAACCTTAATGTGTAGATGGTAGTAAAGGAAGGAATTTTTGCTGCGAACAAATTTAACAGAATTATGGCTCTTTGTTGATTTTTAGTTTCAACTTGTGGCACATGTAGTCCAAAAAATATTTGAACTAGAGTCAAAAGATTGACAGAACAGTGGCGTGTGGGGGCATCAGTGTCCTATGGACACATTTCTAGTTGCAGTTTGTTTTGCATGTTTATTTGTTTCATATACGGTTCAAAAGTATTTTTGTTTTATTGCGATTTTCAGAAAAAGTGAAATTTATGATTTATGTAGATACGATACAAAAACAGGAAATCCTAAGTTTTGGGTACTTTTTGGTCGTTTCAGGGAATCGACCGAGCGGCACAGAAGTAAAAAATGAAACTGTCATTGGAAATACACACAGTATTGTTGAACACAATGTGACTTTTACGGATGGGACGGATGTATATGTAACTATAACAGGTATTTAACGTAAATTCTAAGAATTCTAAAAAAGTATAAAATAAATATCATTACTGTCGTATTATTATCTGATCACTAACGGACTAATTGCTAATTTCTATAACGTTTGTGTGGATTTTAAATGCCCTTTGCACTCTCACATTTCTGTATATATTCACCTAGCAGTATGTTCACAGATTAACTCACTTGCTAACCTTTTATAATAAATCACATGAGTCTTGAGGCGTGTAGTAGAAAAAAATTTAAATGTATTCCCATGATAATCTGTATCTATCAGTAATGAAGCATTGCTTAATTGATTCAGTGACAGACCAAGCCGGACTTTCAAGCTCTGTTTCATCAATGCCGCTAGTTGTCGATACATCACCTCCTGAAACTGGCGCTATAATCATAGAAAGTGTTTTGGATCGTTTGCCTTACCTAAGGTCTCCAAAATGTAAAATAAGTCTGACGGGGTTTAAAGATCATCAAAGTGGAATTAAAAACTTTGAAGTCGGTGTCGGATCAGATGACGGATTTGAAAACATTTTGACAGGACTAACATACGATACAGATCATTTTGAAGTAACTCTTCCAGCAATCGTGGAAGATGGTCGTAAAAATTATATCTCTGTGAAGGTTTGTTCACTCTTGGACATAATAAATTTTAACTTGGTAGAACAAAAAGTGATTAACCTTAATCACCAAGCCCGCGTGCATTTCAGTTAATATTTAAAAAAAATCTGAAATGGCATCTTGGACAAATTCAGTGAAGAATCATAAAACAAAAGTTATTGCTACATATGATACAGGAAAATATTTTTCATAATTATTTTATAATATGTAATGACTCTGTTAACGGTTTCTGTTAAGATACCAAAAATTTTATGTAAAGAAAATTGTATAAAATTATAAAATCAAACTTCAAGGTATGATGGTTTTTCATTTTCATTCACCTTATCTTATTCCAATACAGGCTGTTAACAGAGCAGGATTATTATCGGATATTGTGTCAGTACCGTTCGTTCTGGACAAGTCTCCACCAACGGGCGGACATGTTATTGACGGAGATAGGACGCTTAATGTAAGTAAATTAATATTTCGTATGCTTTAATTTTGCGTTTCTTTCCTGATTTAAAGTTTCGTGCAAAGTTTATTTATTGCCATTATATTCTATCATCTTCGGCTAGGTCTTACAGCTGTTTTATAACGTTTGACATATGTGCATTTAAACTAGTAATGTTATTTATATGTCTGTATCTTAATTAATTATAATACGTCCTGAACGCAAAATTGATAGAAAATAAGTTTAACGAATTCGAATGCCCAAATTGTTTGATGATCGTTTTATCATGTTTGTATTGAGATTAACAAAATGTCACAAAATAGAATTTACTATTCGGAAAGAATTTGGTGAATAATCATTTGTATTCTATTAACAATCACATCATTGGCCCTCAATTGTTTAACAGTATACCTATTTTATCAAACAGTATATGAAAGTAAACGAGAGGTATAAATATACATTTTAGTACACAGGTGTTATAAAATAGAATATAATATTACGTTGATAACATGCGCTGTCATAATTATGATATGATTCAATAGGTACATCATTAAGTCTGCATTTTTATAATTAATTTGAATAAATAACTATAACGATACTATTCAGTAATTATAACTATAGTTTTTTATTCTAATCATCTACTTATTGTTTAGAAGGATCAAGATTATCAAGCATCTTTGAGTTATATACAAGGACACTGGTATGGATTTGTCGATCCACAAAGTGGTATTAGATACTACCGCGTAGGTCTCGGTAGCAGACCACTTATTGATGACATTGAAAACATGGTTAATGTTGGTCTTCAAACAGGTACAATTGATCTTTGTCAAAGTATAAGAGACTTTCTTTTTTAGCCTTTAAAGTAATGTGAACCTATTTGAAAATGGATCGGATATTAGTATACCTTAAATGTTAATTTTCTTAACTACAACGTAATTTAATTGTGTTCGAGTGTATTTAACATGTAAAATGTGTTCCATATAATTTGACAGCTTTTTGATGAAACCGTATGTGATTAAAACACTTGAACGTGCCACAGAGTTTTTTATTTTCATTTCCGACTATTGAACAATTAAACAATGACTTAATTGTGATTACAGATAAAACTTGGAATGGAACATACCGCGTCGGTGTCAAGTATTTCATAACTGTTGAAGCATGTAATGGCGCAGAGGCATGTCGTACAATATCTTCGGATGGTTTGATGCTGGACAACTCTCCTCCAATCAGTGGAACAGTAAGAGTTGGATCTGGTTCTCAACATAGGAAATATTTACCACATGGGTAAACAAATGCTTATTTTTGTGCGCCGAACATTTTGGGGACGTATTATGGTATATCTTTCTGTAGACAAATTTTTTCCGCAACATAACTTTAGGATATTAGTGATTATGTTTATATTTGGCATGTAAGTATGTTTAATTAAAACACAAGTCATATTCGATTTTCACTTCCATAAACTTATTATTGATAGTTTTATGCCCCCTTTTAATCATATCTTCTATTTCATATTTATTTGCAAGAATGTATTATCAAAACAAAATAAAGTTTGCCCTTCTCTTTAATTAACTAACTACCACCTTCTGGATTTAATTGATTTATTATAATCAAACTGAAATCAACAATTAACTTAAAATACGCATTAAATTAGACTGTATATTTTCATGTGTGTTTTATTGAAAACTTATCCTCTAAGCCATTTCTAACTTTCTTTGTTGGACATTTTTGTCCATGTGTCCATGGTACCTTTTTGTAAATTTGTTATCGGCTGTATATTGCCCCGCCTATGAGGAGTTCTTGTTTAAATATATATCATAAAAATCAATCCAGTTTAAAAATATGTTTGTTACAAAACTAACAAAGTAAATGTAACTTTTTATGGCATTCAAATGTCTATAATAGAACAGTTTCAAAGATAATTATCTTTTTTTTTTCAGAGGAACAATTCATATACAGTATGCAGGATTTGAAGACCCACAGTCAGGTATAGAACACTATGAAACATGCATCGGAACCAACACTAAACTTTGTGATATTTTACCATTTTCGTCAAGTCTCCTTGAGTCAAGCATTATAAAAACGGGTCTAAACTTGACGAATGGTATCAGGTATTATTGTACAGTTAAAGCTGTGAATAAAGTAGGTATGCAGGTTGCAATATCCTCGGATGCATTTGAAATTGATACAACAGCTCCAGTTTTAGTAGAGAAACCTACCTTTTTACATCTTTATAATTCGTCAGTAGGTATAAAGGCACAATGGGACAAGTCTATTCTTCATGTATCATGGAAATTTGAAGATTCTGAGAGTAAAATTGCTAGTCATATAGTGTCTTTGAAAACGCACCATGAAGGTCATACACCATTAAAACATCTTCATGTCGGTAACGTCGACGGACTGACAATAAACTTAAATGCAGAGAGTTGGCTTCATAACGGAGATGTATACTACATCGTCGTAGAAAGTTGTAATGTAGCCGGACTCTGTTCTTTTGCGAGATCTGATAATATCTTGATCGATTCAACACCTCCTCATCAAGGAGGATTCAAACCACCCATGATCTGGCAGAATTTCATTGATTTAAATAACAGAACAAAATCTAGGCTATCTCTTACGTGGTATGGCTTCAGTGATGCAGAATCCTCCATTGACTTCTTTTTCTTGAAAGTAAGTAAAAGTTACACTGGAAATGAATTATCACAAGGGGATCTAGCAATAAAAGCGAACGATAGTAAAGATTGTCATGTTGAAATTCTTCTAAATGAACATGTAAGTCAAGACGATCTTCTCATATTGACATTATGGGCTAATAATACTGCAGGACTTAATAGTACAATGGCAAGGATTACTGTCACTGCATTGCTGACCGAAAGCGGTGTCTTTAATTCATCTGGTATCCTTGAAATTCAGAAACACTCGTGTGACGTGCATTTTTGTAATAAAGACTGTACTTGCGCAGTCATTGGACAACAATGTGTCCAAGTGCACTTAAATGAAACGTGCAACGTGCTCAGTGATTCAGACGTCACCAGGCTCAAATTACCAAAAGTAAACGTTTTCGGCGGTTTGCCTGTACATCCTTTGAATATGACTGTTTCCTCTGCTTGCCTCTCTGGACACTGGCTTGCACAAGAAAACGAATATTTAATTCAACGATACGAGTGGAGCATGGGAATTAAAGATCAGCCTGTAGGTGAAGGAATATTTGATCTTAAATCAGAAAGGCCATGGAACGATGTTGGTAAGAACAAGCAATCTATTTATTGTTTGCCGATTACAAGCGGATTACAGCATGACACGGGTTATATCATTTATGTTCGAGCCTGGTATTCCAAAAATATGTATGCAACATTCACATCTGATCCATTATATGTCGACCAGACACCGCCACATGTGACAAAAGGAAAGGTCATAAAAGATTCAGATAGTACTTGTCTGTCTGATTACGACATAATTGACTGGATGGATCATGTTTCGGCCTGCTGGAATGGGGTATTTTCTGAAGGGAAGGGACAAGTATCATATTACACCGTTTCGCTTGGGACGTCTATTAATGGTTTGTAATGGTCTTATTTTAATCTCACACGATTACAACTTGCTTAAGATGCTATTGTGATAGAATTAATTTTAAGTTTTTTATTAACATTGTCACCACGCCTCAGATGTAAATGTGCCGTATGAACACATCTGCATGTGTTTGTATTGATATTGAACAATGCTTAAGCCGAAGCTAGGGCGTGAACAAGTCTTAGTTAAAATAGAAAATGAAATAAAAAAATAAATATTATTATTTGGTAGTCAATTAAAACTGTATTAATTTCATGAGTAACATTAGTATAAGACGAACGAAAGTTAAATCTTACTTTTTGTATCCTTTGTAAAATGTTATATTGTTTTTATTTCAGGAAGCGATATTCAACAAATAATAAACGTTGGCCTCAGTACGAATTTGACTCTAACAAACTTAAAATTATCTCATGGAACGAAATATTTCTTTACCGTTAACGCATATAACAACCTTGGCCTTCACATATCAGTCTCCTCGGACGGGTTTTTGGTTGATATGGACCAACCTGTCGATGGAATCGTGTTTAATACAGACAAACATTTGAACACTGACTATCAATCATTAAACACATCTTTTAGTATATCTTGGCATGGCTTTGTGGACAGATACAGCGGCATCCGTTCATATCATGTCGCCCTTGTCACAGACCTTGTTTTGGATTATACAAATATTTCATTTACAAACGTAGGACTTCTGACAAAGTATATATTTAGAGATATTAAATTAGAGCATGGTAAACGATACAAAGGTCTTGTCAAAGCATATGATAATGCTGGCCATGTAAGTCATGTTTCTGAATCTGATCCAAAGCTGATCGATGTTACAAAACCATCACTTAAAACCTGTGAGGGTTTTGAGACTGCGTTTGTTAATCACACTTCTCTTGAAAATGGGTTCTCTGTTGAAATTATTTCCGATCTCTCGGCAAATGATTATTATATAATATCTGGCATGTTAACCAACTTTTCTATTGCATTGATGCCCGTTTTAACGATTGGCAGACATAGAACTCATTTACCAGTGACAATAAATCACAATAGAACAGCTGAGTTTCAGTATAGCTTCATGTCAACACTCACAGGCATGACGAACATGCGGATTGATTCTCTGGAACTTGATACTACAATAAAACCTCCAGGAATAAAGATTTCAAAATGTCTGAAATTAAAAACTGCGCAGAATGATGTCAATGTAATCCAAATAAAGCAGATGGGAAAGTCACAACTGGCTGTGAATTTCCTGATTACGGACGAGGAAAGTTCTCTTCATAAAGTACGTACTGTGTTATAGTTTAGCATATTTAAAATGTAAGCGATATAAAATTAATTATAAGTTTTATAATTGTCATCATTTTACTTGATATACCATTGATTAAAAAGTTATCACTAAAAGAATATCACTATGAAGATTTTTTTTATATTTTGAAATTGATGATTAGCGGTGACATTCATTAAGCAATCAGAATCGTTTGTAAATATGATGTCAGTTTATTGGGTACCATTTAAAATATCGATGATTCGTTGTCGATATAAAACAAACAGTAGAAAATATATGTCTGTTATTATTCAGTCTAGACATTTGACGTTTTCAATATTTTTTGAATTTTCTATTTTGTTAGGTTTTTCTTGGTGTTGGAACTACTTCAGACGGGTTTCAAGTACGCCCTTTGTTACCATTTCTTGAAGGTGCCTCTAGTGTCATTGATGTTGAAATTGAACACAACGCACTCGTGTATGCCACAGTAGTTGCCGAAAATAATGCAGGTCTCAGAGCTGTATTTAAAGGGGGACCAATCAAGTATGATAATACACCACCAGTTATAACGGATTTGAAGACAAGTATTATAGAAAATAACAATCACAAAGAAAGCAATGGAACTGATGATTCACTTGATATTGTCGTAAACTGGAACGTTATGGACCATGAAAGTGGAGTGAAATATTGTGTTTGTTGGCTAGGTAGGGCAAAGTTCCAATTTATTTATACAAATTGTATGAAGGCCGTCTACTTTCCTTTATTTTACTATTCGATCATTGCAAGTATTTATGAAATTTCAGGCATATATTTTACTTAATCATAATGTTCACACACGATCATTGCTTTCATACTGATGTGTACATTTGTAAATACAATGTAACCACTGCATGCAGACCAACTCTCCATACAGCAATAACCATTTCACAGTATCAGTTCTTCTTAAAACATAAAACATTAAAGTTCGCCTAAGCAAAAGCTAGAACAAAACCAAAAAATCGTTTTCTTCCAAAAACAATTAACGTGCTTCATTCTTTGCTCATAAAATAAGCACCTTTTTAATCAAATATGCTGTTCTAAATTGTTACAACACAACATATGTCTAGAGTTTGTTTCTTTATATTAGAAAATGACATACAAATTTAGTTATCTTTTTTCGTTTTTGCAGGCAAAGCACCCAGTGAATCGGACATTTCTGTAATGCATCTTTCCGACTCCAAGCAATCTTGTACCTTCGATCAACTTAACCTTGAACATGGCGACAATGTTTATGTCTCTGTTAAATGTATCAATAATGTTGAACTAGGATCTGATATCGTATCTGACAAAATTGTTATTTCATCGAAAGCACCGGACGTTTCACAAGCAATAGTTCGTGTAATATCTCCTTTCCACGACGTATCAATTAAACAATACCAGGAAGTTAATGTAACATATATTGTTGCTGACGGAACGTGTATTAGACTTGAATGGGACGGATTCCAGGATCAGTCAGGCTTGACAAATTATGAATACCGTATAACATTCCATAATGATACAGTTATTGACTGGAAAGATTCTGGCAGAAGTAAGGCGGTAGATATTAAAGGTCTATCGCTCGACACTGGAGAATTATACAAAGGCGAAGTAAGGGCAGTTAACTCCGGCAACCATGTCAGTGATCCTGTATTTGTAGGATTCATAGTCCAAAGAGAGCCTTCAGTAACAGGTTTAAATCTATTTTATAAGATTAAATGATTTTAAAGGCTAGTATAGGTTTAAAAAAATTGACAATGTAAGATAAAATGCAAGAAATTTCTTTTTGAATGGACTTCAAAGAAATAATTTCTTTCTGGTGCATGATTTATAACTTTTGAGATTTGCAAAAAAAAAACAGAGATAATTATAGCTCTAATTAAAAAAAAATAGAAAGGCTTTCCTGTTGTTATTTTTCTCCATGATTTAGAAAGAGCAAAATGTATAACATCAGACATATTTTGTATAGGCCTGTATGTAGTCAATGTTGTATGTTTCAAGTCAGATTTGTGATCGTTAAAGTGTATATTTGTAATTCTAACAACAAACTTGCTTTATTTCATTTCAGGGAAACCTGTAATGTTTGTTTTTGACGATGGAAAACTGAAAATTGATTGGAGTAAAGTTTTTCTCCTCGATGAAAACGTTGACGTTACATATGACGTCACAGTAGGAACGCGCCATGGGTTTTCAGATGTTCTTGAGATGCATAATTCTGACAGAAGCTATTGTGAAATCGTCGTGCCTGAGTTGACGATCGTCACGCCCAAGATTAACGAACTTTATGTCTCTATAACTTGTATGTTTTCTACTGGACTATTTCATGTCTACGACGCAAACTATAAAATCTAACATTGAGTTTCAGTAAAGCACTGGAGGGAAAAGTGTTTAAGTGGATAGTTCTTCTACTTGGTCAGAGGGACAAATGTTATGTTACATATCATGTACCATTGTATGATCAATATAATTAATAAATGTACAGAATAATTAGTTTATACATAGATAGCTATTTCTGACTTTATAGATATTTAATGATTTTTCACAAGGTAAAAAAGATTTGTTTTCATGTTGATCTATGTCTTTCCTTAGAGTAATGTTATTCTTCCACTGATTCAGACATGAATTAAATCTAGATTTACCTTATTTCATCAATAAGCCATGTCAAGATTTTACTCAAAATCAGGGCAAAGTGAAACACTCACTGAAACTAACACTCACTAATAACAATTACTCTTCCACTCGATTGCGAAATGATATCGTGGTAAAAACGATAGCTACTTTCGTACACGGGTAAAAATATTTTACAGGAGGTCTATATTGTGTTTTACTAAGATAGTAAATTTTTACAAGATTTGAAAATCATTCAAAACAAGAAATCATGTAGTGAAATTCCTTATTTGAATTTGATCAGCTATAGTTTATATACACTTGAGATCAAGGCTGACATGTGAATTATAGAGTGAAGTACTTTATCAGTGAACTGTCATAAGTTCAGATGACAAAAGGGTGTATAGGGCAAACTGAAACACTGCTCTTGGCCACGACATACTAATTTTAAAATTGTTTTCAAATTAAAAATGACTAGATTTACATTATTGATATTAGTCAATTCCGCGTCGCCGTTAATATTCATACACGAATTCGCGATGCGCGAAAGAAAAAAACCCCGAATGAAAAGTACAAAGCACATATCATAACAAAAAAGAACAATTGACGAAAAAATAGAGAGGAAACCGTTCAAGCTGGACAGCAGGAACTTATTATCCGGTGAAGTAGTTTATTATGGAATTATGTAATTGAATGTCATTATATTTCAGTTTGGAGATTTTGTCTCTATTATACTTACTGTTTAGCTTTGGCTTTGCCCCACGCATTGTTTCACTTTGACTCGCAACACTCCACACATATTTTTCTCGCCCAGTTTGAAGAATCAACATCAAAGTGTCTCACGCAAAAAAAATCAAAATCGAGCCGGTCATATCAAAACTCGAAAAGGTGTTTCACTTTGCTCAGTCTACCCTAAAATTCATGCTCACGTAAATAGCTCTAATTTTAGAAACTTGTTTTGTTTACTTGATTCTTGTTAATTTTAATATATGTTTGATTTATATTCAATTAAATGTTTTTATCAAACTTGAGTACTGATATTTCTTTTTCAAATGTTACTGGATGGTCAACAGCACTGATGTTCGTTATCTCTAAAGCCAGGATTTTAGTTCTTCGTGATAAATTATAGCGCGAGATTATTATTGTGAGAAAACGAATGTCAAATACCGTACATTTATACTCAAATAATACTGAGTAAAAAGACGGTGGTGGATAAATCCTTACATCCGCCATTTGACCTTTATCAATGCAAAGCGTCAACTCATTTATTGTGTATCGCATGTCTTAAAATCATAGAAAATTACCAGAAAGTATTGTTAACAAGTAGCTTTAGATTAACTAAGTTTAACTAAGTACTAACTTTTCTTAATCTGAATAATGAAGTAGCCTTGTAGATCAACCCATGAATAAATTGACTCCATTGAATATAAAATGTCTTGCAGTAACACCCGCCTATCATCTAATTACTGATAACATGATTGTTTTACAAACTTTAATTACAAAGATAACAATTGACACCTGTTGGTATATTAATTTAATTTTGTGATGTACCGTACATATATAAGAAAACGAAGCTATGTGTGCAACGGTTGTTACTGGTATGGATGAAAGATATTACATCCATAAATAAATCCATAAATATCTTATTATAAAGGTGAACAAAAATGTCAAAATGGAAACCTATGGATCGCCTTAAACAGCAAATTGAAAATATCGTAGGCGCGGTTTAATGGAGTCTGTTCATGGAGAGCAGTGTTGTAAATTCAAGCTACTGGCCACGACTGTAAACATCATCTATAGCAGAGCTCAATGGGATATCAGACGTTACGAATCGTACCACATACACCTGTCAGAAAATATATTTCATTGTATTTTATTTTGTTGCAACTTATTTATCTTTTTTTAACGACTCCATAAAAACAGTATTGCACGGCCTTGCATATTTTTTTATGTGACATCATTTGCGTTATGCAAGCATAGCGAGAAGACGCGCTATATGTAGCGTTACACAATAAGCGCGTCAATAAAGAGTAATGTTGGTTATGTAATAAATAGAATATTATATACGTGTAGATTCATTACTAAATTTGTTGAACTCGTTGAAAGAAATGATATTATGCTCGACACAGGCTCGCATAATATAATTTTATACAACTCGTTCAATAAATTCAGTCTTGAACCTACACTTATTTAATATCATCTATGTAGGTAATTTCGTTCTGCCTTTTTCATAACATTATTGAGGGCAATTCGTTTGGCCGGATATTTTTTCAGCCAATTCTCTTGTGATTCTGGCTAGTATTTTTTCTCATTTGTAAGTCGCGAAAATGACCATTTCCAGTAATCTATATATTTTGTATTTTTCTAGATTTATTTTCAAATATGTTAATTGCTAAAGACAACTTAAACCGGATATTCCTTCCAATTTCCCATTAATGCATGGGCTATTCTAAAATATATTTGTTATTTATTGCGCCCTCCATAAGGTAAATGTTTAACACATACATTATTGACATATAATATCTTGAATTTAATTGTCATGTTTAATAATTTAAGGAATGAAAAATGACAAATACTTGTATTTGAGGTAAAATTTAAAAGTTGAATATTTTACGTTATAGTAAAAGTAAAATTGTTAACAATTGGCGTGGTTGGATTAAACATGGTGCCCTCTACAACACCTGAAGGTCAACCGAGACATTTTTACTGCATTATATGTTTTTTTGTAAATATTAACCTGCCCATTATGCATATATAATTGTACCCCATCCAACCACCGGATAAAGCATGCAAAATGGGCAGGTTAATATGTTCGTACAATACCTGGTTTATATGAAAGATCGCATAAATAATTATGCCGAATCAACCTTTTATACGACTTTTCCGAGTATTTTTAAACTATGTTTATATGTATACAACATACTAAAATGTAATTTTGAAATACCTTTGCCAGTTAAAAATAATGGGTTATTGAGTACACATTAAGTTCATACAATTTGCTTATATCAATGAGAATTTTACCAATATATTTTACATGCATTCAAATTTGAAATTGATTAGACCTACAAATGTTGATCTTTCTAAGCTTTAATAAAAAATGAACTTTTTCATCGCACTCAAGAATGAAAATCTATTAAATGAGTTGTGGCATGACTTAGTGGTAACCGTATGCCTGCGTTGGTTCAAAATTATGACATTTAAAAGGAACTTAAAATTAGAATATATGTTTCTCATAAACACTTGTCTGAAACTCTTATACGCATTTACCAATTTGTTTTATGGCTGATATGATAAAAAGAGATCTGAATGTCAACATTATTACAGCAGATACGCCGTGAGACAGTGAGTGTTGTAATTGGTCGTTTACGACTTTGTCAATTCTTTATAAATTACTTTATATTTTCATTGATAAAAAATTTGTTTGATATAGCATTGAAAAGAAAAATATATCTTATGAATGCGTGGTGTTATTTGATAATACGCGGTACAAAAAAAAATACAAAAAAGTCGTCTTGCTTTTAATCTTTGACCTCCATAAACAAGGTTTAAAATCTTTAAGTTGCTACAACGAAATGGAATTTTTGTTATCAAAATTTTCCACTCAGTCAGAAAGATTCCATTGGTGAATGTTCTCCATATATTATAAACCGACATAATGTATTAACCCCGGACTATTTGTTGAAAGCATTGCGTCACATTTAGAGCTCATTATCAGGGGGTACCGACCTGCATTACACATTTTATTTGCATTGACTAGTACTCGAGGTCAAACGAGACATACTCTTCCGTATCTTACAAGTTAGAAGAAGAAGAAAAGTATATAAGTAAAGTTGACCCTTTTTTATTTACATGATTTATGAGTTAATTAATTGTTTCATTCTGGCCTATTGAGGTACAAGGGCCTGCAAATAGTTTTACTTTGACGAAGTAGAGGTTCAAAAAAAGTCATTGACATTGTTTATTAATCAATGGATTTATGGGACTTTTACTTTTATTTAATCACCAAATCTCTCCTACAATAAAGTATCTATAAATTATATCCTCCATCTTGTCTCATTAATCTAGCTGACTTGCCACGTGTACTGCATTAAATTGGCTGTATTGTCACGTGTATTTCATTAATTTAACTGACTTGTCACGTGTACTTCATTTATTTACCTGATTGTCGCATAAACCTCATTAATCTAGCTGACTTGTCATATGTACTTCATAAATCTAGCAGACTTGTCACATGTACTTCATTACTCTAGCTTATTTGTCGCATGTACTTCATAAATCTAGCTGACTTGTCACATGTACCTCATTAATCTAGCTGACTTGTTACGTGTACTTCATTACTCTAGCTGACTTGTCACATGTACTTCATTACTCTAGCTGACTTGTCACATGTACTTCATTAATCTAGCTGACTTGTCATATGTACTTCATTACTCTAGCTGACTTGTCACATGTTCTTCATTATTCTAGCTGACTTGTCACATGTACTTCATAAATCTAGCTGACTTGTTACGTGTACTTCGTTACTGTAGCTGACTTGTCACATGTACTTCATTAATATTGCTGTCTTGTCACGTGTAATTCATTTAATCTAGCTGACTTGTCCCGTGTAATTCATTAATCCAGCTGACTTGTTACGTGTACTTCATTACTCTAGCTGACTTGTCGCATGTACTTCATTAATCTAGCTGACTTGTCACATGTACTTCATTAATATTGCTGTCTTGTCACGTGCACTTCATTAATCTAGCTGACTTGTCACGTGTAATTCATTAATCTAGCTGACTTGTTACGTGTACTTCATTACTCTAGCTGACGTGTCGCATGCACTTCATTAATCTTGCTGACTTGTCACGTGTATTTCATAAATCTAGCTGACTTGTCACGTGTACTTCATTAATCTAGTTGACTTGTCACGTGTACTTCATTAATCTAGGTGGCTTGTCACGTGTACTTCTTTAAACTGACTTAGCACGTGTACTTCATTCGTTTAGCTGACTTGTCCCATTTACTTTATTTATTTATCTGACTTGCCACGTGTACTTCATTTATCTAGCTGTACTTTATCTGTCTAGCTGGCTATTTACGTGAACTTCATTTCTCTAGCTGACATGACACGAAAATTCATTATTCTAGCTGACTCGTCGCATGTACTTCATTAATGTAGCTGGCTTGTCACGTGTACTTCATTCGTCTAGCTTACTTGTCACGTGTACTTCATAAATCTAGTTGTACTTAATCTATCTAGCTTGCTTGTCACGTGTACTTCATTACTCTAGCTGACTTGTCACAGAATTTCATTAATCTAGCTGACTTGTCAAGTGTACTTCATTCATCTAGCTGGCTTGTCACGTGAACTTCATTAACCTAGCTGACTTGTCAAGTGTACTTCATTCATCTAGCTGGCTTGTCACGTGAACTTCATTAATTTAGCTGACTTGTCAAGTGTACTTCATTCATCTAGCTGGCTTGTCACGTGAACTTCATTAATCTAGCTGACTTGTCAAGTGTACTTCATTCATCTAGCTGGCTTGTCACGTGAACTTCATTAACCTAGCTGACTTGTGAAGTGTACTTCATTCATCTAGCTGGCTTGTCACGTGAACTTCATTAACCTAGCTGACTTGTGAAGTGTACTTCATTAACCTAGCTGACTTGTCAAGTGTTCTTCATTCAACTAGCTGGCTTGTCAAGTGAACTTCATTAATCTAGCTGACTTGTCACATGTACTTCATTCATCTAGCTGGCTTGTCACGTGAACTTCATTAATCTAGCTGACTTGTCACAATGTACTTCATTCATCTAGCTGGCTTGTCACGTGAACTTCATTAATCTAGCCTGACTTGTCAAGTTACTTCATTCATCTAGCTGGCTTGTCACGTGTACTTCATAAATCTAGCTGGCTTGTCACGTGTACTTCATTAATCTTGCTTGTTTGTCACGTGTACTTTATTTATTTACCTGACTTGTCACTTACTGCATTAATCTAGCTGACTTGTCACATGTACTTCGTTTATCGAATTGACTTGTCACATTTACTTTATTAATCTAGCTGACTTGTCACGTGTACTTCATTAAACTAGCTGGCTTGTCACGTGTTCTTTATTAATCTAGCTGACTTGTCACATGTACTTCATTCATCTAGCTGGCTTTTCACGTGAACTTCATTAATCTAGCTGACTTGTCAAGTGTACTTCATTCATCTAGCTGGCTTGTCACGTGAACTTCATTAATCTAGCTGACTTGTCAAGTGTACTTCATTCATCTAGCTGGCTTGTCCCGTGAACTTCATTAATCTAGCTGACTTGTCAAGTGTACTTCATTCATCTAGCTGGCTTGTCACGTGAACTTCATTAATCTAGCTGACTTGTCACATGTACTTCATTCATCTAGCTGGCTTGTCACGTGAACTTCATTAATCTAGCTGACTTGTCACATGTACTTCATTCATCTAGCTGGCTTTTCACGTGAACTTCATTAATCTAGCTGACTTGTCAAGTGAACTTCATTCATCTAGCTGGCTTGTCACGTGAACTTCATTAATCTAGCTGACTTGTCACATGTACTTCATTGATCTAGCTGTCTTGTCAAATGTTCTTCATAAATCTAGCTGACTTGTCACGTGTACTTCATTCGTCTAGCTGACTTGTCACAGAACTTCATTAATCTAGCTGACTTGTCACATGTACTTCATTAATCTAGCTGACTTGTCACATATACTTCATTCATCTAGCTGGCTTGTCACGTGTACTTCATTAATCTAGCTGGCTTGTCACGTGAACTTCATTAATCTAGCTGACTTGTCACATGTACTTCATTCATCTAGCTGGCTTGTCACGTGAACTTCATTAATCTAGCTGGCTTGTCACATGTACGTCATTGATCTAGCTGTCTTGTCAAATGTTCTTCATAAATCTAGCTGACTTGTCACGTGTACTTCATTCGTCTAGCTGACTTGTCACAGAACTTCATTAATCTAGCTGACTTGTCACATGTACTTCATTAATCTAGCTGACTTGTCACATATACTTCATTCATCTACCTGACTAGTCACATATACTTCATTTATTTAACTGACCTGCCAGGCGTGCTGCCTTGTCACGTGTAATACTTTATTCAGCCGAATTATCACATATACTTGATTTATCAAACTGATTTGACACGTGTATATTAATGATCTCGCTGATTTACCAGATGTTCTTCATTTATCTAATTTTTCACATACACTACTAAGATTTTTAAAAGACAAAACATGCGAAATTGTGATTTGTATTTTATAGTTTTATCATGACTAGGAGGGATAATTATTCTTTCTTTTAGCTATTAATTTTGATTTTAATTGTGATATTATAGAAAGATAAGAGACATTTTACCAAATCTTAATGATTAATGTCAAAAATTAAATCTACAAATTGTGATACACTAAATATAGAAATTTATACAAGTCTGCTATTTTGATTTGGGTTTGAAACCACACCAACATTTGAATCCAAGAAATCCGTGCAAAAAATAGTGCGATTTGGGCACCTTTTGCGAAGGCATGAACATTGGCACAGTTGTTGGTTGATAAAATACTTTTCATTGAAGCCTGCGATCCGGGATGTGCGAATCGAATACGGCCACCAAAATCTAAGATGTCCGCCATATTAACTTAGAATTAATAAAACTTTGTCTTCATCGACCTTCAAACGGCCACCAACACGTAAAGATAAAAGTGAGTTCGAGCCCTACTCAGGTAACGGCCATGTTTCATTGCATGACATCAGTACTGGTTGATGTCAAAAAGTTGAGTTGCAAATGATTTATATAGATTGCAAGAACTCCCGTCTTATTGGGTACTGTTTGAGGAATAGTTGAACAATCTACTATAAGTCTTTGAGACCTTGAAGTCTTTCAACTCTTTATAGGTATATATACAAATATATATACAAAACATATCCGGGTGGATGGTTATAGCCAGATTGATTGTCTTAACATTGGTCAACATCCTGTTGGCTGGTTGTCACGTGTGGCAGATGCCTTTAAAAATAATTGACATTATCAGCTGATGATAAAAGTGTATTTAATGATTTACAGTCCTGTTGTCTTTCACTATTTCGAAATTGAACCACGTGTGATCATGCACGAGAGATAATACAAACCACAATTTCTTAAATTGTTCAAAACATTGTTAACCTTAACTATATACTTACCCTTATCAGAAAATTCAAGTGCGCATGCGCCTAAAATGATATCTGGGGGTTAGATGTGAATGAATATAAACTCCTTCAAAGTTTGACAAATTATTTGATCAGTGTCTCCTTTGAAATAAAAGTAATTAGTTTTGATCAGTACTCACGTTTCGTGTAATATAAATCTGAAGTAGTCTCTCGTAAATAAAGAATAAAAAATAAAGGATTAATTGAACGTTAGAGAATATGGGGGAACAGGTAAAACAATTCTTCTATATCAATGTTTTAAATTATTCAAACAATTAAACAAGTGGTTGTGTATTGTATCAAAATTAATACAAAAAAGACTGGTAATTTAAATTATTTTAGTTCGATTGTTTTGGAAGCTAAAAGCTTATTGAAACATTCTTGAATCTGTTCCTGGAACCAACCAGTACAAACCAATGGGTGGGTGTAAAGATTCTTTTTCACGGAAACAAGGGATTGCCCCTGACGAGATTTGAACCCAATTTCTAGTCCATTTATATTTACATGTAATTTTGTTGTGGAATTTGAGTTTCACTTTCCGCGTATCCAATTCTAAAAATAATTTGAGCCGCGCCATGACAAAACCAACATAGTGGGTTTGCAACCAGCATGGATCAGACCAGCCTGCGCATCCGCGCAGTCTGATCAGGATCCATGCTGTTCGCTTACAAACCCTATAACAAGTAGAGAAACTGCGAACAGCATGGATCCTAATCAGACTGCACGGCTGCGCAGGCTGGTCTGGATCCATGCTGGTGGCAAACCCATAGTGTTGGTTTTGTCATGGCGCGGCTCATTTATATGTTTGCTTTTAAACTTATTTTTAATAACACAACAAGTTCCTTTGTTTAAGAATCATCTATACGATATATCTACTACTTTCATTTATACATAAATAGATCTGATAGTTTTAGCTTAAAGCATGTTTATTCTTCAAACCAACTGATTTACTATTAATACTACAGATATTTGTTTTATATCCGAAAATTACTATTACATTTTGATTAAACATTAGATATACTATTCTTATTGATGGTTCCTGATAAACCAATCTAAATTAAGCTTTCTGGAAATAATTTTATCATTTTACACACATGATTCGTTCGGTCAACAATGCATTGTACATTTTTTTATTTCTATCCGTCAACAATGCATTGTACTTATTTTTTATTTCTATCCGTAAACAATGCATATTTTACATTATTTTATTGCTATCCGTCAACAATGCATTGCACATTTTTTTTTATTTCTATCCGTCAACAATGCATTTTACATTATTTTATTTCTATCTGTTAATAATGCGTTTTATATTCTTTTGTTTCTCTATGTTAATAATGCGTTTATAGTAAGATTATATTACTTCTATCTGTAAACAATGTATTATATATATTATAATATTTCTATCCATGAACAATTCGTTTTACATTTATAATGCATTTTGCATAATATTTTGTCTATGTCCTTTGTCTGGTTTTGAAATTGTAATTGCTTTTACCAGAAAAGGGGTTGAAAATAGGCTCAACGGATGATGTCTTTGAGAGAAATGGTGCCATATTCAAACGCCCCTTCCCACCCCAACACACACCGACGTTCGCAGTAATATTACTACTAAAAAACTTGAAGCATTACAAAATCATACAAATGAATTATATTTAATATTTTCATAGTGTAGGATACGAATCATACATATGTGCATTACATTTTCTAATGCGAGTTGTGATAATGAATAAATTTTACTGCTTCCATTCTACAACTCATTAAACAGAGAAAGATTCCGTTTCCTTAAATATAGCCATCTAAATATTTAAGGATTGCAAATGATACATATCAGTCGGCTCTTAAGATTTTTTTATTTTTAATTTTAATACTTCTCCTATCTCTTATTAAATAACCTCAATTAATACTATATTTCTTATATACGTTAGTGGTATGATTGAGATAATTTATAGTTATATGATGTTAAATAGTGCTCACTTATCAGATAATGCACGGACAGACGAACACAATCTTTATGTTATTGAATTAATGATAATACACCATACAGCATGTAACTTAAATTACTGATTTTTTATAACTGAAACCTTAATTTTGACTGTAGAATTGAACTGTTCTTTCAAATGACTAAAATTCTTCAGCATTTAGTTTTAACGAAGTTTGAATAACAAAAGTAAAGTTTGATCATACAATATTTTTCAAATTATGAGAGCTGATATTCTAAAATTATATGAAAATTTTGACAAAATTTATAGATAAGAATGTTGATTTTAAAATTACTATATCGTAAAAAGTTTTGGCTAATTGAAATTAATACACAATTTTGCCCGCCCTTTGAGATAATTCCTGTTTATGTAAGAGATAAGACCATATAAAATTATCCTTCGTCAAATAGAAAATTCCTTTAATAATTCTGATAGCTATTGGCAGAAATTTAAGAAAGCTTTGCACAAAGAAAAACATTGCAGCCTGAAGTATTCTGAAGTATGACAATTTGTTCTACAATTATACAATGCTTTAGTCAAGATGTTTCACTAAATGTTTATTTTGATATTCATATTAATCACAAGGAATGGTCACAGAGAGGTCAGTGTCAGATAAAGTTGTAGACAGATTGCGACGTTTATGAATGGTTGTCATTATTTTCTATTTGATCAGTATTGGGAAAGAAAGAATACGAGCATTCCACAATAAACAAGCAGTAGATTGAATCAGTGGAAAATTTTGTCAATGAGTTTTTGGGAAAGAAAAATTTCCACCATTGAGTGATAAGCCACCATGTCGATGATTCGTTTGTGAAAATATTTAAATAAATTTGACATCAAGGCGTGGTTGAAATAATCCACCCCGTTGTTTATATTATTATATAACAAATTTGGCATATAAACTTGCTGTCAATCGGGCTAATGTAATAATTTCATTTTCAAACACTTTATTTCGTTCCGTTTTTATAGTTTCCGTTCACTCTTCAAATTCACTGTTTATTATCAAAAACTGATTAAATAAATGTTGATGCCACACAATTTTCAAAAAATATACAAAAAAATATAGACAAACAAGTCTGTTGTGTAAATGACGAGATTTTGTTATTTGAATTAGTGGAAAACAAGTTACTTACGAAACGGGTATATGGAAATTCCTATTCAATTAAAGCAAAATTCAAACTGATTTAAATGAAAATTTTGAAAACTATATTTTAAAGTTGAGTATTGTGAAGTAAACAAAGAAAGTAATTTACAAATGCAAACGGCGCTTAAAATGCACGTAAATTACCCCCCCCAAAAAAGAGGTCAAAATATGCAAAAAATACCCCTTACTGCGTTAGTAACGCAGTAGAAATATGGTAATTAACACTACAAAATAATAATCGTACATAACATGTAAATTATTACTTGTATCTTGAATCTTTTTACTTTTCTTAAAATTTTAGTTTTGATTTTCTTAAAACATACTGGCTCATCTGGAGTCGTGCAGTTTTAATGCATTTCTCTAGCACATTCATAATTATAATGCAAAACAAAGTCCGACACCGCCTGTGTTAATATTATTAATTTTATGAGATATAAATGTACAGTATATACCAATTATTAAAATAATTATTATTCTAATACTTTTGAATTTTGCATGCTTATATCTTAACCAGACGCTTTCTTGTGGTTACATTTTAACAATGACATAAGATCATATCTTAAATATCAAATTTCATTATATCATCTTGAAATTGCAAAACTACCCTACAGTTATTGTACCTTTAATAACAGCCTATCTCTAAATGTACTCATACTTGAGATAGATTATCTATAATTTTACATAATAATTTACATAATTATATCTATATCATATCTTTCAAGGATAACATATTAACAAATGCAAGGTTATTTTCAAAATAACTTTTTTTCTTCAAAACAAATTGAAATTAATATAAGTAAATGAATTATTTATAAGTATTTCAGTGAAAAGATTTATATTTATGTTTGTGAGAAATTCTACTCTTATGGCAATACATCTAGCATTTATTCGTGAAAACTCGGTAAACTTTTGTAACTTTACACAAATTTGCGCCAAATACTTTTTATCAAGTTCCGTTTATATTTTCCCCTTGTTCTAATCACAAACATTATTTCACTTTGTAACCATACGCCTCTTGTTATTGAATAGTGTTGAAGTGTCATATTACATCATTACAGCATTTTGGTTTAATTCATGATTAGAATTCTTTCTTTATATGTGTATATTGTTTTCATTTATAATCATTGTCTGGCAAGACTAAATATTGAAATTTGCTCCAGCCGGTGCTAGAGGGCGTGTTAACTTCTACCGTTTTATTAACAGTCCGCTACGTTTTCAAATTTGCTGTGTTGAGCTTTCTTTATCTATTTTACTGTCAACTCAGCATTATACATTAGATAGGGCATTGACAAAAAATTCAGAAAATATTCAACTTACTTAACGATTGGATATTTAAAAGGACGACTTGTTTGACCACAGGTTCATACATCAATCAAATATTTGATTTAAAGTTAATTGTGTCTTGCATGTAAATTACATCAAGTCAAATGAAATGTACTTGATTTAAATATATGTTCAACCATTGCTATAAATTCGATTAGTTTTGAATTGATCTACATAATGGACATGATTTTATAATGTCTATCATCGTATGATAACATTAACAATAAGATGAATAAAACGTTGTCTGCATGCAAGTCAGTTCTTCATTACTGTGATTTTATTTTCACCAGTAAATTTTCAAACAAGCGAAAACAAAATACAAAAAAGTAATAAATTGTGTAGATACTGTTTGAAATCTGTAGTTATTATTATTTTAGCCCAATGCGTGAACTCAAAACCTCTAAATCTATTTTGCAAGTTTAATACAACAGATATCAATAGGCAATTGAGAAACCCTTCACATGGATAAAAACAGTTCGTATGAGTATTAAAACTATCCTTTCATACACAACAGATATTTTACTGTCTGTGTTTGATTGTCTGACAAGTGGGTAAAGCCAATTAGAAAATCAATTTACAAAATAAGTCTCGGGCTTTAAAGGCGTCCTCGTACTTTACCAAAATGTTAATATGCAAAAAGTGTTAATCTTGCATAAAAGTATTCGTCCAAGTCAGTTATTATTGGTTATTCGTACAAAGAAACCATTGTTTGCTTTCTATGTGATAGTGCGGTGTCATTTGACTTCGGCATTGGACGTTCTTTTAAATAATAAAACTACAGGGACTGTCATTGTATTATGCTGTTTTACATAGTGCCCTGAGTCACGCATATTAAAAAGACATTTAAAAACGAGCAGCAGCGGGCGCTTGGTCAGTTAATGTATGTTTTTTCCCCGTTAATGTAGTCATTATAATTGTATGCGCAGTTTTAATGCAAGAATGTAGATTATTCATACAATGTACCGTTAAATAATGACTTTCTGGATAAACTGTTTTGCAAAATGACTTAAATGAACATTTATATTTGTATCGGTCCTATATTTTGCGACAAATTTGAAAAATGACCAAGGACTTTGAAAAAAAATTGTTGTCAAGATATTCCGCGCTTCAGAAAAGTTAATACGAAATGGCGAAGGCATTTGAAAAGTATTTCGACGAGATATACCCCGCTTCGGAGACTGACGTGGGTAATTAAATCATGCCGAGTATAGCATGCCATGTGTCAGGCATTGATTTAAACTAATTAAGACTATTTTTATGAGATGCATATCTGTATTTTTTTAATGATCAATATAAAATTTTAAGTATATTCCTTGTTTCAAATTTGCAAGAAAAGATTTCTTAATATTGTTGCCTTTTGACGAACATAGAAGGTATTCGTTCAATGGCATTGAGAATGTAAACAAATTTTCAGGTCATCTAAGGTAATAAATTGGACCCAGTTATGAAACGAAAATGTATAGATAACAAATTCCTTAGGTGAATTAATTTGTATACATATCTATATGACAAAGTAAACAAACATCTATCATTTGATATTGTAATATACTGCTACCTAATCTTGTTATTAAGGATCACATAAACGTCAAGGGTCAGTCACATGATAAACTATTAGTTATAAATATTTTATGGCCCTATATAAACGTGTTTCTTTTTTCTTCTTTTTTTTAATATAACACGAGACGCTAGGCGAAGGTTACATTACAAAAAAAAACATTTAAATACGGTCATATAACCTGTCAGAAATATTTATAACGAATTTATAAAACAGCAAGCATCTCTTTTAGAGAAAAAAGTGAGATTTCTTCATAAATTGACATCAGCCGTGTGTGTAAAACTATATAAACGCCACAATACCCAATGAAAAGCGACGTTACAAACGTGCAGTATTATAAACATTATTGTATATGGTACAATATATTTTGTTGGTCTGTAAGGATAATGATTGACAGTACTTGAAATGTCAGAAATGTTATATGATCTTCCCGTAATGATAGGTAGAAACAAAGGCAATGCACAAGCTGTGTTTGATAAGGCATATGTTTGACAATAATTAAACAAACCAAAATTTCTCGGCTTGCCAGCATATTATCAAAATATTATTAAGGATTGGCAATGCCAGATGTTACCTTATTCGGGTCGTTCATGGTCACGTGATTTGAAATTAATACGTTTCCTAGATTTTAACATACAGATAAAACTTTACACTTAAGGTAGTACGCGACTCTATGCATCTAAGGTCAAAACATCTTAAGAATTGCTTTATTCCAACGTCTTTAAAATTCTCCCTAAATATCATTTTTAAGTTAAGTAATATAAAAAAGTTGTTTCCTATATATCTATACCTTAGAACAACTTTAATTTTATAAGATGATTTCCTAAACAGTAAATTATTGTATCTAAACAAAGGTTTCAACAAAATTACCCTAGAAATAATTTGTCATAATGATTTCAGGGTAATTTTTTAACATAACCATTTGTTATTATAAAACAACAGTTACTTATAAATATTTTGTAAGCAATATCTTGAAAACCAGTGTCACCTCATCAGTGCCAACTAAACATACTTAAGATGATATTATAAATAAAGGATCTAAATTACGAAAATTGTAATGATAACGTTTCCAGAAAGAAAATTTGATTATGGCCTTGACATTATTAACATTCATTTATGCAAACAAACAAATCATTATAAGGTTAACTTGGTACTTTTTGCCATTGTCGATCAAGTGAATTGTATAATTTGTTCAAAATGATACGTTCCTTATAGCTATAACATCGTCTACTTTTTCTCTAGGAATGGAGGTAAATCTTAGAAATAAGGCAGTTGATGACTTTTATTCCTCAAATTATTCCTCAAGTTATTCTCCCAGATGACATTGTGTCATGATTAATATTCAACAATTTTGAATAATCGAAGACTTATAAAAAGAAAGTGAATTTCATTCATAGTTAAACAAATGCAAAATTTTATAAGTACAAATATGTATCATATAAATTATAACGATTTTCTTAAGCATGTATATAAACACTGAGGTGTGGATGGCATAGGTGTAGGTTTGTGAAAAGTGTTCATAATTTCATATTACCCTGTGACCTATACTGAAAGACTATGTAGGCAAGAACTTACCAGACTTATCAAAGATATTTAAAAAGGTAATTTTTATGTTGCAAATGTTTGCTGAACAACATTAAACAAAACCGTTCGTTAACTTGTTTGTTATGATTATTATTGAAATATAAGTATTTATTAAAGAAACATTGTTATGTTTACAGAAAGCAGTCAGCGACAACCGTGGAGCATGGGGGAACCAGCTGGAGTTCATTCTTACAATGGTGGGATTTGCTGTAGGACTAGGAAATGTTTGGAGATTTCCATATTTGTGCTACAGAAATGGTGGCGGTATGTAAGAGAGTCAGGCATTTAAGAGAGTATTTTTTGATATCTTAAAACCTGAAAGGATTTCATTTTGTATGTGTTTGCGAGAAGGCCGGCACTTTACAATGTACTTTGACTTTAATTTCGAAAAATATATCTTTATTTTAGACAATGCATACATTTCGTAATAATACACGAATAAAATCAATATTTTACATTACTTCATATTGATAATAATGCAAACAACTTTTGTTTTCAATTTTTTGTTGGTTGACAACTTTTTATATCCTATTCTACATATAAACCGGGCGCCATAAAGCGCCCTGCATCACTCCATAAATATACGAGAAGTATGTTTACGGTGAACATCTGTTCATTCAATGTTCCACTTGTCAAGTATATAATTATAATGTATATGTCAAACACATTTTCTTAAGTTATAATTTACTTTTATCCCGGCATTGCAGGTGCGTTCCTGGTTCCATACTTCATATCATTACTGGTACTCGGCGTTCCATTGTTTTTCATGGAGCTTTGTTTCGGACAGTTTGCTAGTCTTGGACCGCTCAAGATTTGGAGAATGAATCCTGCCATGAAAGGTAAGACTAAGTTTACATCGAATAAACTCGCTTGCCATTGTATAGATATTAAAATGTTGTATTCTATATAGTTTACTCCGTTGAAGTACCGTTCATTAACATTTAGTTGCACTCGCCAGCATCCATTATCGATATCGCACATGGCAAGCTTTTATTTTTGTTTTTGGCTTCTTTTTGCACCTCAGTATAAGCATCGACGTTCCGTAATCTGGCTTGATAGCTTCCTCACATGAAGGACTCCAATGTCTCTGACGAAATGCAAATCAGCAGCAATTAGGAGCTTGTGATTTGTAGCAAACGACCTTAATCACTCGGCCACAGACGCCCTTTTATCTCTAAGTAAATTGATTGAAAAAACATGTATATACATGTACATATATTTTACAGGGGTTGGTATGAGTGTTGTCCTTATCACGGCATGTATCATCATATATTATAACGTCATTGTGGCTTATTGTATATTTTACTTCTTCGCGTCGATGACGTCAAAGTTACCATGGAGCGACTGCAACAACGACTGGAACACGTGCCAATGTAGAGATTCGACCATGGATTTAAACACAACCATTCCATGGGCAAACGGGTCGAGATTCTATACTGAATGCAGTTAGTAATCATCTGTTATATACCGTGTTTTCTTACTATTTTGATATTAACAATCTAGTAGATCTGTCATATATCCTGATTCGTTATCACGTGACGTCTCTTGTTTCCACTGTAATATATCCTGTATATTCTGTATATCAATTAAACTCGTTTATATGAATTATGATGTTATTTACCCGATATAAAGGAAATAATAATTATGAAAGGTCCTGTATGGATCTAATGCTTATAATTCTATATATGTCTATCAAAAGCATTGATATGCAGCATAAATTTATAACAATCATAAAAAAGAAACTAAAGGTCCATCTCTGTGTATTTTTCATCGTTTTATTTCCACTTCGTGTTCAGTTGTTACCAGCTTTCTTGGATTCTTGTAGTCATGGCAACATCATAGTAATGTAAGGCTGATTAACCTCAGTCTTCTGGAATATAATTTTACTCTATTGAATTACTTAATGTTAGTTCATTTATCGTAGTAGTAAGTAAATGTTGCCTTATGTATTCAAGTTGTACTTTATTTACTTTACAAACATACTAATATTTCGGCTTTTTACAGACTTTACAGATATTGCTAATACAACAACAACAAGTGCTAGCGAAGAATACTTTTTGTAAGTTACAGTATATCTTTCAATTATTTTACATGCTTTTTTAACGATATCTGCATGTTGTTGCACAAAAACAAAATAAAAGAAGCTAATGAATGCATATTTGTTCTGCATAACGGTGTATATTTTTGTTCTAGAATAGTGGACACGTGCTTGATATCTTTATTATGGCTGGAATTCATTTAAATTGAATCAAATATTGAGGAAAAGATGGTTTTATTATGGACGATACCTATGCAGTACATGATTCTTTCTGACCAAGCAGTGCATACCTACTGACCTCATAAAAGTTTAAAAAAAAAGAATAAATAATCAAATAAATGAAAGGAAAAAAACAGTACGATCATTAACCTCAAACTGCTGCCAGCCGTTGCTCATGTGACAATGAAAATAATATGTGAACATAAATAACATCTATGTTGTAGAGCGAAATCATTTTTACGAAATATTCTTTATCACTGGACGGCGGCATAGATTTGACCATTTCTAACGGTACATCGCCTGCCTTTAGACATTCTGAATGTATAATTCCACGTGAATACCACGTGATAACAAAATGGACAACAAAATACCCTAAACACGGGCGCCGACGGGGTACGTCATCCACCGTGACGGATTATATGGCTCGAAACCAGTGTGTAGGCTTCTGTGGCGTAAACAATATACGAAATATTTCATTTTAAAGAAGAAACATAAAATTTATTTTTCAAGGAAGGAATTTATTTCACGAAACATACAAATACCCTACTGAACGGCAATTATTAGCATATTCTGAAAGTCTAATATTGGTTTTAAGTGGTGGTGGTGTATAATACATATTGTATTGATCAGGGGAAGTGACCGCTGCGGAGGTTGAATTTACCTACAAATAATCACTGAAAAGCAGCTAGCTTGCTTGTTTGGTAAAAAAAATATCTTTGTATACATTAAACAACTCGGCAATTTGTATATATATTATTGAAGTTTAATTGGTATAAACTTCTTTGCACTTAAGTAGTTTATCGACATTAACGATGTTGTTGTTGTCTACTAACATAGTTTTCTCAATTTACCAAACATTGTAACATGTCCTAGAGACTGGGGTATTTGACACAGTGTGATACAGTAACATTAATGCCTCTACAAGTAATTCAAAACATTCCAAATAAACAATAGTACATTTTTGACTGACATACTTATAAAGGAATTTACACTAATAGTTCATATCTAAATAAACATGCATATTCAGATCATGCGTGCTAATATAAACATCATGGCACGTGCTCTTACGTTTAAGCATAAGGTATAATACATACTGTTTAACCTTAAGAAGATAAGATTCATTTTGCCAAAATGTACATACATTGTAATGACAACATGCAGTGAACATCCAACATAACATTTATATTAAGACAATTTTGTCCGACTATTTGATAAAAAACATACATTATTTTAAATATCTATGTTATTTACACTGTAAAGCAAGCATGTATGCATATATAATAATGTAATAATTGAGCCGCGCCATGACAAAACCAACATAATGTGTTTGCGACCAGCATGGCTCCAGACCAGCCTGCGCATCCGCGCAGTCTGATCAGGATCCATGCTGTTCGCTATCAGTTTCTCTTCTAGTTATAGGGTTGGTAAGCGAACAGCATGGATCCTGATCAGACTGCGCGGTTGCGCAGGCTGATCTGGAGCCATGCTGGTCGCAAACACATTATGTTGGTTTTGTCATGGCGCGGCTCATATATAATGAAATATTAATTACAGACGTCGTGTGTTGAAGAGAACAGAAGGATTGGAGCATGAAGGTGCTCTACTCTGGGACGTATCTCTATGTAACCTTCTAGCCTGGACCATTATCTTCCTTGTTCTAACTAAAGGTGTTGAAACATTGGGCAAGGTAAAACATGTTATGGTGTAAAATATATCTTGTGAAAAATTGTTATACAAACAAAAAATGTCAAAAAAAACCCCATAATTTTCCAATGTTAAAGACCAAATCAATTTACATTTGTATCTGGGCTTAAACTGTACGTTACATATAACTCAAAAGTCCTGTGCCAACAAATGTAGATAAAACTTTCAGTTACTAGTTAATAGTTCCCGGAGTATACAATTTTCGGTTGAGTATTATTTACGAACACAAGTTTTCGAAAAATCTAAATCCTGATTTTGTAACACAAATTGAAAACATAATCTGTAAAGAAATGGTTTTATAATTATGTTTATATAGGTGATGTATGTAGCCTCTATCTTCCCCTACATCTTGTTGACTATCTTACTGGTACGAGGTTTAACACTGGAAGGTCATCAACTTGGTATTGACTTCTACCTACAACCAAATGTAACGAAACTCTCCGAGGCTTCTGTAAGTTTATCTATACTGTACTTAATAAATCAAATTCTGTAATAATGTCATGTCAATAAAACTCTTAGGAAATGAATTCATTTATAATATATGTGTTAGTTATACCATGTATCACTATAGATTCGTGTTTCTTTTATATTTCAATAAAACTACGTTGTTTTTGGTAGTAACTAATCGATATAGTTTTAGCAGAAAAAGATAAAAACAATATATATATATATATATATATATATATATATATATATATATATATATATATATATATATATATATATATATATATATATATATATATATATATATATATATATATATATACAGTCGACAATCGTTATCTCGAAGTTGCCGGGACCATGGAAAAAAGTCGAGATAACGAAAAGTCGAGATAAACAAGGATTTGGATCAAATAGAAGCTGAATTTTCTACATCATTCATACCTATTATCATTATCTACGTCATATAGCCTGTGTATGATGTATTTCTGTCTTTATTTCCTTAAGGCAATTCGATTTATTCATTGTGCGGAAATCTTCATTTGAATTCCTTTCAATCTTCATATTATTCTTCACAAAAGATAAGAAAAAATGATTGTAACTGTCTGTTGTAGATTTTGGCTAAGGTTCACTTGTTCTTATGCAAAAGCCAGAATGAATAGAATTTAACGCTGATATGAAATATTTTGAGTTTTTATATGAATCTAACTACCTTTGAAGGTATGGAGTGATGCTGCGGTACAGATATTTTACTCGCTCGGGATTTGTCAAGGAGGACTTATAGCTATGTCAAGTTTTAACCAGTTTAAAACCAACACTTTGAGGTTAGATATCCTTCTCTTCTTCCCGCAATAAAAACAATTATATTGTTATCATTAATTTATGATATGGATAATTTATATGATAAATAAAACGCTTGCACGGGTGTCTTAAGCCGACAGTATATATATTTGCATAAATGGTCATACATAGTGAATGTTTGTATGAACATTTGTATGTGAATTTAACTGCATTTATGCATTTATTTTCATGATTTATAAACAGATTTTTCTCATTTAATCTTTAGAAACGTAACGAATAACAATTCATTTATTGCCACTGTTACAATGTCAGAAAGTCTCCTTGTTTTCAGAGATGCACTGATAGTACCTATCATTAACTGCATGACTAGTTTCTATGCTGGCTTTGTGATATTCTCCGTACTGGGTTTCATGGCAAACAACAAACATACCTCAGTAGCCGAGGTAGTGGCCGATGGTAAGATATATCTCTGACTTAAATTCATGTACATGAGGCTAAATCCATAACGAGACCAAAACACTATTTGAAGTTATCTTAATTATGCCGACAATTTAAGTATGTTTATAAATAACGGGAACATACCACTTATTTTAATTCAAATGTTACTAAATATTAATACGTGTTGGTTCTTTAGATAATATAATTGTTTTATAGTTACAAAAGAAATCTTTATTTTGATGTTTCTTTCATTTCACGGCACTATGATTACCCGTTGAAATGTCCGCTTTCGCAGTAGAAATATGTTCCATTCAAAGTCATTTTGATAATCTCATCAAACGGACACCTTGGTAGAACCACAGGGACCCAGCACAGTGTTGGGATAGTGTAAAAAAGTAATTTTTAAAAAAAATATATATTGTATATATAATATATAGACAAGGGGTTGAACTCGCCAAATCGGCCGAATGCCCCTAGTCCAGTATAAGTCAAAATTGCAAAGTCATTCTTGCGTAAATTATATAAAGCTATATATTAAATTGCAGCTAAATGACATCACTAGACGTTGATAATAACATTACTGTCCCCACTTAAACCGTTTTTGAACAACAAACCGATATTTCGGATGAAACATCGTATTTTTGCTAGGTCGGACACAACCGTGCAACCTGTAAACACTCGATTTTCTACGTGTAAAAAGGCAATTCCAGACCATGTCATTATACCAACCCGCAATAAATCGATAAAACAAAACAAAATAAACAACTTACCGCTGGAAATTGTTCCAAAACCAATCAACTATAGCAAACATTCATTTCTTTTTATTTCTCTTCCGTCAAAATATTTTTTTGAAGCCATGATACATATTCGGCAACGGTTGTAAGACATTGTTTGATTGGACGATTCTGTGACCCAGCAATGCTTTGTATTTTAATCAACCAATGAAATAATCCGTTTCAAATTGGTCACGTGATAGCCAATGGATGCTGATTACAACTTTCATTTTCACATTCAGGAATTAATTGTTTACAGACGCTATAAAACATTTTAAAAATCAATTTCCGGTGGTAAGTTGTTTCTTTTGTTTTGTATTATCGATTTATTGCGGGTTGATATAATGTCATGGTTTGGAATTGCGTTTTTACACGTAGAAAATCGAGTGGGGACAGATTGCACGGTTGTGTCCGACCTAGCAAAAATACGATGTGTCATCCGAAATATCGGTTTGTTGTTCAAAAACGATTTAAGTTGGGACAGTAATGTTATTGTCAACGTCTAGTGATGTCATTTAGCTGCAATTTGATATATAGCTTTATATGATTTACGCAAGAATGACCTTGCAATTTTGACATATACTGGACATGGGGCGTTCGGCCGATTTGGCGAGTTCAACCCCTTGTCTATATATTATATATAAAGTATTTTTTTTCTAGAATCACTTTTTACACTATCCCAGCACTGTGCCTGGTCCCTTTGGGTAGAACGGCCAACATTTCGTTTGATAGTTATTTACCTACATCATATGAATGCTGAATAATTTGCACCTCTTTATTTACCATTTGCATCGTTATAATAAAATGATTTTAGCATAATCGTAGGGATTTTTTTGCAACGTGATCAGTTACCTGTTTGAACAAACATTATTTTTCCTCGCTGTAGGGCCTGGGTTGACATTCATGGTGTACCCGGAAGCATTATCTCAGATGCCAGTGTCTCCTGTATGGGCAGTACTGTTTTTCCTGATGATGACTATGTTAGGATTTAGTTCACAGGTGATAACAACCGCTGACTTTAGTAATAACGAGATTTAGAATGTTTTTAATCTTAATTAATACAGTAATTTTAAAACCAACAGACCTTTAACCCACGCAGGACTGAAATACTAAATAATAAATCATTATTCCTAATATTGAGGCTACATTATTTGCATCATTTTTTAAGCAGATAAGATTTTTTTAATATCAACAAATAACTATAATCTAAGAAAATGTAAAAGTTTTTAGTACGTTCCTTAAAACTATCTTATTGTACAGTATTTTAGCTAAAACAACAAACAAGTAAATCGTGTAAAAGGTATATTTTCTTTCTAAAATTACTCATGTTTCATAGAATATAAATAAAGATAGAATACTTATAAAGCTTGTTTTATATAGTTTTCAGCTACTGAAACAGTTCTGTCAAGTATAATGGATGAATTTCCGTCGATTCGAAGATCCAAGTTTCGGATGGTCGCATTTCGGGGATGCGGATGTTTATTATTCTGCGCACTTGGACTACCAATGACAACGGAGGTGTGTGACAACTTATGTTCTTTAATACAAGTTTAATCATGATATAGTAATACTAGCAGGTACTTATTTACAAATATTTCAATTCTTCTATTTTCTAATAAACTAGCTTGCGATAACAAAAGCTTGCGATGACATACATGTATGTGATAACATCGCTCATGATAACATATTTCATGAACCTGGCTTGTCTTCATATATAAGAGATAATTATGCTTTTCTTCCATTCTTCGAATAAAACATGTAATAAGTTGATGATAATGATAGAAAAGTCTAACACATATCCGACAAATTTAGACGTCTCATTCTAGCGATGACTAATTTATTTATTTTTTTTTATTTCAGGGAGGTTTCTATTTGCTCAACTTAATAGATAATTACGTTGGTGGATTTCCGTTGTTGTTTGCTGGGTTATTCGAAATTATTGCTGTGATATTTGTATATGGTAAGACATCATTTATGATGATTTAAAGGATAACTAATTACAACGGAACTACTTTTTGTTACATTCTGGTTATTACAGGGTCTGATATTAGACATCTTGCTTGCAGAATTACGTGTACTTGTATTTACACTAAATCATAAAAAATACGCTTTATCTAACATCCTAAGAATACATATGAGCCGCGTCACGACAGAGCCAACATAGTGCGTTTGTGACCAGCATGGATCCAGATCAGCCTGCGCATCCGTGCAGTCTGATTAGGATCCATGCTGTTCGCTTACCAACTCTATTACGAGTAGAAAAACTGATACCGAACAGCATGGATCCTGATCAGACTGCGCGGATGCGCAGGCTGGTCTTGATCCATGCTGGTCGCAAACGCGTTATGTTGGCTTTGTCGTGACGCGGCTTATATATTGATTGACTTTTTTTCATTTTTTCCTTTTCATGTTTGTTTTAATAGATGAAATACAGGAAGATTTGACATGTGTAATAGTTATCTATATCGTTCAACGTACAAAGTTTCATACTAAAATACATTTTCATTAATTTAAACATTCTTAAATCTTGATAAAAACAACTTGATGTTTATTTGAAGGACTTGAGTCACTACAGGTAATTAACACGCATATCATATCAGGGAAGTTGTTTGTAGAACAAACTAAATGTATCTCATAATTGAAAGTCAGGCGCTGTAGGCACCACGCCAACGCTGTCCATTTTTAATAAAGAATTACTTAGTCTTAATCAGTAATAAATATCGATTTCTAAATTACCTTTACACGTATATCTTATTTTCAATGTTCATTTCTTTCATTTTTAATTTTGACAGTAAAGAAACGTACAGATATCCTCAGTTTTACACTTGTCCAGTGGACGGAAGCTTTCATTAATCATTACCGTTCATAAACATGCCTCTGCAAAATTTTCAATTTTGCCGTGTTGGGATTTCCTCAGGAATTCTTTTTCGCTCTGTTTGCTTGCTCGTGTTCTTTATCTACTGAATACAGTAATAAAATACGGACCAAACAATTATTTATCAAGACGTTACTTAATCCATGGCAAAAGTGTTACAATGTGTAATCAAAATTTCATGTATAAATATAGATACATATGACTTTATATTTGATTTATAATTGACTTATATAGGAGTGATGACGTTCAAGAAAGATATTGAAATGATGCTTGGTAAACGATTGATGACTAAGATAGCATTTGTCTTCTTTATACCAATGTGGGTGTTGATTACACCAATATGTTTGTTGGTAGGTAACTGATCTTTTTATTCTATCTTTATATTCACTCCAGTGAATCTAAATTGTCTTAGATATCCTGGATGTTTATATCATTCGTACATGCTTTTATATCATTTGTACATGATTTTATATCGTCGGTACATGATTTAATATCATTCGTACATGACTTTATGTTACATGTATTTGTACATGATTTCGTATCGTTTGTATATGATTTTATATCTTTTGTACATGATTTTATATCGTTGATACATGATTTTATACATGTTTTATATCCTTTGTACATTGCTTTTATTGTTTGTACATGATTTTGTGTTGTTTGTACATGATTTTATATCGTTTATACTTGATTTTGCACATGTTTTTCTAGTTTGTGTTTCATTGCTTGAGCAGAAACGAACTTTTCTGTCTTTGTCTTTAATTGCATGAAAATAATCTGAAGACATCTGTCAAAAATATAGAACGTCTGCCCAGGATTTAATATTATATTACTTATTTCAATTCAATGCAACGAAATGTGTCTTAATGTACTCAGTTTGGTCGTAAGCGCCGGTTAATAAGATAAACGAATAGCTTTTCATATGAAGCGTTCAATTATATACCGTTCTCTTGTCATCTTCCAGGGAGTTACAATATTTAAAGCCATGCAGTACAAACCATTGACCTTAGAAAGCTACGATTATCCTGACTTTGGCGACGCTATAGGTTGGCTGTCTGCGGCTGCACCTATTCTTATTGTACCGGGATGGTTTATTGGCTATTACTGTTGGAAAGGAGGAGCTAACGTAAGTTGTAAAACATTGATTGGATGTTAATTACAATAAAGTAAAAAGATAAAGGCAAATTATGTTTTAAGGTTGGAATACAGAGTAGCATGACTTGAAGATAACGCGCAGTGGTTTAATGATAATTCTCTTTGATTTCAAATACAGGGAGGGGGGCGTGAGCTCGACCACCTGCAATTCCAATAACTCTTAAATAACTTCAAAGTCATTCGGATGAGACGGTCAAGACCTAGGCACCGTATATATAATGATGATGCCTTATTATATTGTACGTTAAAGAACATGATTTTTCCCCTGGAATGGAGTAATTGCTGTATCTATCGACACCAGAATATAAAATTACTGACAGTTTTCTCAAGTGTATATAAATGTCCAGTGATGACTGTAAATAAACGTTTTATCACCCATATAACTTGATGGAAGAGTAGGAATATAATTGCTTAAAATGAATGGGACTGAACCACATGTTATTTTGCATGATTTTATCAATAATAACTTTTGTAATAACTAATAAGTATATAGTAATTTCATTAGTTTATTAAGCACTCTGTCACATTCAACTTAAGGTGATTCATTCCCAATGTCATGGTTATATAATGATGCTCTTTTCTATATTCGTTGCTTCATTTGTGGGCCATTGGTTTCATCTTTAACAACCTAAACCCATGAAAAAAGATCATTAATTATGTAATAAATGTACATTTCAGTTATTTATCGAGGTTAATCATCCAAAAGAGAAGTGGGGACCATCTAAAGAAGAAGACCGAGGGGACAGATATAAATTACCTGACTTTACATTGTTCAACGTTGAAATAGGACCAGAGTCGGAGAAACAACCTATACCAAACGGTGACAAATATACAAACGGTGACATTACAAATGGAATATCGCCTGCTTCTATTGACAACACGGCCTTTGTAAACGACGAGTAGTATCAATTGAAAATCGAATACACGAATCACAGTTAAAAAAAACAGTTATATACCGAAGTATGTAAAATGTCAAACGATGAACAATCCATATAAAGTGGGAACAGTCATTGTCCGATATCCTATTTCCCATAAAAATATTTATCTCCATCATGCAAGCATTTTGCACTTTGATCAGTATGTAATACATTGTGTACAAACATTAATCAGTATGTGAACCAATGCGTACACACATTGATCAGAATTTAAAAAAACAACAAGCGTACACAAATTAATCAGTATGTTAAACATTGTGTACTCATAATGATCAGTGTATAAAACATTGTGTACACAGATTGATAAGTACATATATGTAACACATTGCTTACACATATTGATCAGTGATTCAAACATTGTATACACACATTGACCAGAATATAAAAAAACAAGAGTACACAAATTAATCGGTATGTAAAACATTGTCTACACACATTGATCCGTGGGCAAAACATTGTGTACACTCATAGATCAGTGTATAAAGCATTGTGTACACACGTAAATCAGTATGTGAACCATTTGCGTACAAACATTACACAGTACGTAAAACATTGTGCACTCATGTTTTTTTCGCGTCCAATCTAATGCTATCTATTAAACTAAATCAGAATTATATCAATATTTGCCATATCATACAAACTCGTGTAATGAGTAATGTCAAAGAACCATTCTAAAATATGACGTTTCTTTGCACTAACTCTTTCGAAATCTACTTGTATGTTTGAATGATCCAAAAATGGTTTCAAGAAGAAATTGGTGAAACAACGTGTAAAGCAGCATTTGGTCGTTTTTTGAAGGTTTAAAACATTATACAAACATTGGGTTGAACCATTTTTTGTTCTTTGTCTGCAATAAATAAATAGTTGCAATTTCATAATTTGCATAATACTATAATTGATCTGTTTTTTAAAACTGGCTTCTTTTACAATAGTTGGAACTAAACATAACTTCAGATTACTCTTGGCACATACTAGTTAACTTTACTCCCAACATTTTTGTAATATACTGGAAGCCTTTAGGTTTTTATCTTCATTTTGTTGATAACAAGAATTTCAATGTTACCGAGAACATTTTATAACAGGACAAAACATCACATGCCTCTGTAGAAAGACTTGGTCGTTCAGGTTGGCGCGGCATATAATTATATCATAGGTGGGTAGACATGGTAATTAATAATGACGTCAATCTAGTCATCAATGCAGATGGTACCATAATTTAATTGATAATTAAATCACAAACAGTCGAGTTCTTAAATGCTGCATCGATCTCAAATATTATTTGATAAAAATATGGTTGTCCGTTTCGAAATTAACTGAACCGCGTCATGACAAAACCAACGTAATGTGTTTGCGACCAGCATGTATCCAAACCAGCCTGCTCATCCGCGCAGTCTGATCAGGATCCATGCTGTTCGCTTACCAACCCTATTACAAGTAATGAAACTGATAGCGAACAGCATGCATCCTGATCAGACTGGTCTGGATCAATGCTGGTCGCAAACACATAACGTTTGTCTTGTCATGACGCGGCTCAACTGAACGTACATTGAACAGTTCAATAATCTATTACAAGTCTATGCTTATACAATAATTGATATTACAAAAACATGAACAATGAACAAATACTGTATTGACAACACTTGCCTGTCATATAGACTATTTTTATATTTTGTTTTGTTTTCTTATTAAAGATATTATATTGTCTGTAAATACCACTGTAATCATCTGTATACAGTAAATTTTATATCAAAGATAGCTGTGTTCGTTTCTTTATAAATTACGGTCTCCGTTTCTTTGTAAATTACGGTCTCCGTTTCTTTGTAAATTACGGTCTCCGTTTCTTTGTAAATTATGGTCTCCGTTTCTTTGTTAATTACGGTCAACGTGTCTTTGTAAATTATGGTCTCCATTTCTTTGTAAATTACTTTGTAAATTATGGTATCCGTTTCTTTGTAAATTACTTTGTAAATTATGGTCTTCGTTTCTATGTAAATTATGGTCTCCGTTTCTTTGTAAGTTACGGTCTCCGTTTCTTTGTAAATTACTTTGTAAATTATGGTCTCTGTTCCTTTGTAAATTATGGTCTCCATTTCCTTGTAAGTTACGGTCTCCGTTTCTTTGTAGATTTCTTTGTAAATTACGGTCTCCGATTCTTTGTAAATTATGATCTCCGTTTCTTTGTAAATAACGGTCAACATGTCTTTGCAAATTATGTTCCCGTTTCTTTGTAAATTACTTTGTAAATTATGATCTTCGTTTCTTTGAAAATTACTTTGTAAATTAAGGTATCCGTTTCTTTGTAAATTACTTTGTAAATTACGGTCTCCGTTCCTTTGTAAATTACGGTCTCCGTTTCCTTGTAAGTTACGGTCTCCGTTTTTTTAGATTTCCTTGTAAATTACGGTCTCCGATTCTTTGTAAATTATGTTCTCCGTTTCATTGTAAATTACGGTCTCCGTTTCTTTGTAAATAACGGTCAACGTCTCTTTGCAAATTATGCTCTCCGTTTCTTTGTAAATTACTTTGTAAATAATGATCTCCGTTTCTTTGAAATTAATTTGTAAATTACGGTCTCCGTTTCTTTGTAAATTATAGTCTCCGTTTCTTTGTAAGTTATGGTCTCTGTTTCTTAATTAATCATGATCTCCGTTTCTTTGTAAGTTACCGTCTCCGTTTCTTTGTAAATTACTTTGTAAATTACTTTGTAAATAACGGTCAACGTGTCTTTGCAAATTATGCTCTCCGTTTCTTTGTAAATTACTTTGTAAATTATGATCTCCGTTTCTTTTAAAATTACTTTGTAAATTACGGTCTCCGTTTCTTTGCAAAATTATAGTCTCCGTTTCTTTGTAAGTTACGGTCTCCGTTTCTTTGTAAATTACTTTGTAAATTATGGTATTCGTTTCTTTGTAAATAACGGTCAACGTGTCTTTGCAAATTATGGTCTCCGTTTCTTTGTAAATTACTTTGTATGGTCTCCGTTTCTTTGAAAATTACTTTGTAAATTAGGTCTACGTTTCTTTGTAAATTATAGTCTCCGTTTCTTTGTAAGTTACGGTCTCTGTGTCTTAATACATCATGATCTCCGTTTCTTTGTTAGTTACGGTCTCCGTTCCTTTGTAAATTACTTTGTAAATTATGGTCGTTTCTTTGTTAATCATGGTCTCCGTTTCTTTGTAGATTTCTTTGTAAATTATGGTCTCCGTTTCTTTGTAAATTATGGTCTCCTTTTCTTTGTAAATTACTTTGTAAATTACGGTCTCCGTTTCTTTGTAAGTTACGGTCTCAACTCTTGTATACATCTGCAATTTCTTCATTGCATAATCCGCCGGATTTCATACGAAATGATTTATTTTTCGATGTTTTCTATGCTGTAGTTAACATATAATTGCTGCTTATAAATTTGTATGATTTATTTTTCGATGCCTCAGCGTACTTGCTGAAATGGTTTCATAAGTGATATTGGGAATGCTTCTCGAAGTACTTCAAAAAGGAAAAGCTCCAGGCGGTTGTCACACCAATCGGTGCACCTCGACGGCTATTCACAATCACCTGGGACTTAATACGGATTGAAAATAGTTCCTCCATGTGACTTAACATGTTAACAAAACAGAAGAAATACTCTCTGTAGAATGAATAACAAGTGTATTATTGACATCCAAATGAAAATAAAGTATATTAAGGTAAAATTATGATTAGAAAAGTATTGCTGACAGTCTTAATCAATTTTAAAATGCCCACTGATGTAAAAAAGAAAAACAAATCCGAATAAATGTCAACAGGCATACATTTTCTACAAACTAAATAATAAGTATGTAAGAAGTGTGAACTGGGATACATAATTTAGGTGGACTTTTACATAATTTAATGGCATAAACTAAGCCAACAACCCAACATTTACATTCTTTTTGTTAACATGGTGAGTCTCTTTGCGTGCACCGTTCCTACTATTGTGCCCGAGGTCCTTATCCGAAGTTTAACGGAAATGGCCGAGGATATGCGATCGGTATCACACGAGAAGTTATCATAAATGACGCTATATGTTGTCATTGTTGTAATGTAAATTCACATAACATATCATCACAGAAAGCAACTTATACCATAATTACGTGTAAGACCGTTTTATAAAAGTTCAGTATAAAAAGGCTTGGTTTTATAATTTTGATTTTCTGCTGCCGTCACGGAGAAAGCGGCGAAGTATCTTTCCTGATGGATTTCTTGGAACCTCGGATATAAACTCCACCCCTCCGCGTAGTCTCATATGTGGGGCAACATGTTCTAAAAGATTAAGAAAATACGCTAAAAATTTGTTCAAATAAACATGAAAATGGAAATTAAATACACGATTATATCAACTACAATTTAAAATGAAACGATAAAAATGGAATACAATAAACAATTTTTTACATTTTCATTTCTTAGCATACAACGTCAAGAGGATTATTTCATTTATAGTTTCTTAGAAACAAATATGCAGAAACGTGTATTTTCACGGTAACAAACTTTACTTTTTCACTCAGCATTTTTAGAATGCAGTACATTAAACATCATTATGATCAACTATGAAATAAGTATGTTTTTGCTTGTTAATTACTTATTGTAAAATTATGCATTACTCAAAGCTTACTTAGTCTCAGTAGCTACTGTATACACTTTAACAGTTTGAATGTCGAGCTATGATCAATAATATCATACCGTGTATATAGTTTGAAATCTCCTTCACCGTGATATCTTTACCCGGTTGTTTTACAACAAAAGCTTTAGGGAGTTCACCAGCATCTTCATCAGGTATACCTATAACAGCTGCATCAGCAATAGCAGGGTGTTTAACAAGTATGTCTTCTAGAAATGCCGGGGCTACCTGCAAACAGTACACGTGGTCCGCATGTATCTAACGTTTCCATGTTTTCATCTACGCTAAAAGGAACAGTGTCCTGGGCAGACCATACACCATACATATATAGCAATACCGGTAAATGGTTAAACGGATAAATACCTAAATTATAGATTTTAGGGGGGAGTGTTAACATTAAACAATGCGTAATTATGCCCGCAATACAACGCTTTTAAGGCACAGCAAACATTAAGAAGCAAATAAATGTTGCCTTCTATAGAAAACATAAACATATGTTTTATAAACTTTAGATAATAGTTTCAGAGAATGTTAGTTGCTTTTCATCTGTCGAAAGTAGCACTGAGTGTGAAATAATGTGTAATAAAAGTATAAATATGTAAACAAATTAGTATTTTGACTTTCATACTTAATCACTTTAAGTTTACTAATTGCCAAACAAACAACAGAAACAGAAGCGTATCTGACCGATGGTATGGAGTCATGTAAGATAATCAATCTTTGACAAAAATGTTTTAGTTAGAACGAGCGCACAGTGAACATAAACGTTCATTAGTTCAGAATAAAACTGATTGTTGAGAAAGTTCATTCCGATACGCTACATTTTGTTCTATATTTCCGGACATTCGGTGTTTATGCCTACGTTTTATAAAAAAAATATAAAGTCTACAAATACCTGCATGCCTTGGTATTTTATCAGCTCTTTCACCCTGTCCACAATAAAAAGATATCCCTCATTGTCGATATATCCAATATCTCCTAAAGTTGTAAAATATCTATGAAAATACACATGCCAATCAAACGTAGCTTTGGATTGAATATACCAGCCTGTGTGTCAACTTTTCAAAAACTAAAAATGAGCCGTGCCATGACAAAACCAACAATGCGTTTGCGACCAGCATGGATCCAGACCAGCCTGCGCATTCACGCAGTCTGATCAGGGCTAACAAACCTTTTAACAAGTAGAGAAACTGATAGCGAACAGCACACAGATGCGCAGGCTGGTCTGTATCCATGCTGGGCGCAAACGCATTATGTTTGTATTGTTATGGCACGGCTCAAATGATGTTTACCAGATAACTAGGTCTGTGATATCTTGGTGTAGGTATGATCAAACACAATTTACACATTTTTTTTTTTTGCCAAAACATGTATTCCAAAAGTTTAAAAAGGTGATCACAAATGCATCTGACCTGTTTTAAAGAAGCCATCTTTATCAAATGACGTTTTATTAGCCTCGGGATTATTTAGATAGCCAATTGTAATTTGTGGACCTCCAACGTGGATCTCACCACGGGCTCCATGTGACAACGTTCTTCCAGTTTCCATATCTACAATCTAAAGGTATACTACATGTATTCATTTATGTCAATATACAAATTGAGATTGTAACGTTTTATATTTCCGCAGAAAACAAGAATCTGTGTTTAGTAAACATATATATGCCTTGTCATTGAGTCAGTAACTTATTTGTCAAGAATGTTTATTCATTCACTTGGTTATGCAAGGGGACATGCTCAGAAAAGAATGTTTTCACAATAACTTTAATATAACATTACGCTTGAAAGTAAATGCCTTTAATTTTTGTTTTAAGATTTAGCTCTTCAAGACATTGGCCTTTTAACCCCAAACTCCGAAAAAAGTTTGAGAACTACTAGAGGCATAATGATTACCATGTACTACTGGTTCACAAGAGTTCATCACTATGAGTTGTAATTGATTATGTATTGTTATTATTTTAATCACGATTACTTGCTTAAAATGACTTATAATCTATTTAAATATACAAATAAATGAACCTTGAATAAACAATTTTACTAAATGATCATTCCTGTAAGTGTTAGGTATATACTTGCATTAGATCTAATTAATTATCACTCATATGTAAAAGCTTGATCTTGCTTAATAACTTCCTGCTGTTTTTCAAGAGTTTGAAATCTAATAGTTTGAAGTGAATTTTTTTATTATTATTATTATTATTATTATTACCACAATTTTACATGTATGTAAATACTTGCTAATATCCATATAGCTTCAGGTGACTATGAGCTATTTTAACCTACATTTTCATAAGACTACTAGCTATAATGCATTTGTGTATACTAAAATTTCAAAGAGTGACTTCTTGTTCTTTTTAATGCAGCCTTATATGTGACTTCTTGCTATTATTATTTTATTATTATTATTATTGTTATGTGAGACTGCTGTCTATCTACAATTCCTCGTGACTCCTTGTTATTATTAATATAGTCTTATGTAACTACTTGCTAATTTTTCTATAATTACAGTGTCTACTTGCTATCATTACTACAATTTGACTACTTGAAATTACAATGACATATTAATGTGGTTACATACTATCATTTACTTCAGTTTCAATTAACTGCTTCCTATTATTTTTTATTAGTGAATTCATGCTATTTTAACTACAATATAAGATTACATGCTACTATTTAATACAGTATTAAGTGTAACTACTTCCTATACTACTAGTATTTTAAGTGAATTCATGCTACTATTATTACATGATATTATCTACTACAGTATCAAGTGTAACTAATTCCTACTATTAGTATTACAAGTGCAGTCATGCTACTTTTACTACAATAGCACACTACATGCTATTATTTTGCTACAGTATCAAGTGTAACTAATCCCTACTATTAGTATTACAAGTGAATTTATGCTACTTTTACTACAAACGCACATTACATGCTATTATTCTTGCTACAGTATTAAGTGTAACTAATTCCTACTTGATTATTTTAAGTGAATTCATGCTATACTAATTAAACAATAGACTTGCTAATATGTTCTGCATTTTCTACATTGTTCTTGCTATTATTACTGTACATTGTAGTGTCATGTGATTGTTTATACACATTATTCTTTTTATATCTTTAAATTTTATGTGTCTACTTGATAGTATTACTAGACTTGCAATTGACTAATTGCTATTTTATTAGCCCTGCAGTTTAAAGTGATAACATACTATTATAACTACAGTTACATGTGACTACTTGCTATTATTTTCTACAGTCTTATTTTTTCGGCGTAGCTGTATTAAAATGGATTTTGACCTAGATTTGTAGCAAATGAAATTGTTAGTTACAAAATCTTCAGCTAAAAGAGGGTGTTTTTCATTGGTGGAAAGACTGGCTGTTATGAAATTTAAGGACAAATTCGTAATCTTTAGTTTACTTGTCTCTAAGAATAAAGTTGTATTAAAAATATTTATACAATCGTAAACTAAATATCACAACGTTATGACCAAAACAAAGATATATCAAAATACAAAAATATACAGTACATATGATTTCATGTACAATTTATTTTGTTGATAATATTAACAACAAACCCAACTTTTTGTTTTTCAGCCTTTACTTAAACATTCGATTACTACTCACTCGTACTTTATTTGCTGTAGCTTTTCTGTTTTCTATGAAAATGAACGATATTTCTGATCAACAAAAAGATTCTCCAGAGCTGATATGAATTGCGAAAATTAATATATTTAAAATGCAACATTATCATAAAGAATCGCAAAACTTTAAGTATTATTTTTTGTGCGTAACAATAACAAATTAATTTATTCATAGTTATTCGGCGTTTGTTTACTCCGGTAGGTAAATTTACCGAAATACACCCCAATTGACTACCTCAATCTGAAACTGTCTCACTTGATAATCCGTGTCATTGATTGGTTATACAAAATTGAGTTTAGTACTTATTATAAAATAAATAGATATATTTCTGTATATATGGAACAACATTTATATTTTACATTCCACATTTAAAGTACATTGTAAAATATAACCTGTGTAGGTGTACGACACGTAGCCATGCCAGTAGGCTTAACTAGTACCTCCACCTCATACCCCTAGTATATACAAAATACTAGTCAAGCTGTGCAATTTTTAATAGAAATCCTTTTTTTTATAAAATACATAATTATAACTTTTACTAGTAAGGTTATGTTTAACTTTTGATTTAAGTCTTCAATTATTCATTTTCATTGCCAGATAGATAAGAAGGCATTATAAATAGTACAGTTCAGAGTTGATACGTTCCATTGATTGTTTATTACAGTTTGTATTCTTTCATAAATAAAAGATATAAACAACAAAAGATTTTGGTGTTATTATCATGACCTAATAATTGCAGCATTTTATGCACAGAAGTGCTTTTACAAAATGAAGGTCAGATACATATAAGTTAATATTATTTAACAATAAAATTCAAGTTGTCAGCTGATTGTGGCCTTTGCAGTCTCTAAATTTGGTAGTGTGGTTGGTTATTATCTGGTATTGACTTTGAAACCAGTAGTCAAAGTCACGGTGACAAAAAAGCTTCTAGCATCTATAATAACATGACTAATTTGTTGACATTATAGGAGCATACATGTTTCAGCTAAGTTTAGACAACTGTCATAGATTATACTAGAAACCATCAAATATATTTCAATTTAGACATTTATATTGTTATAAAGTATAAATATCATTAATTTTGAAAATATTCTTAAGCTATGAGACATTTTGCACTGAATTTACGCCGATTATCTTTTTTTAAAGATATTTCTTGTTTGTATATGATAAATATGTCTACGTGCTATAACTACTACCTAAGTGTTTTCGACTTACTTTAACTACTTCACCACATGTAACAAATTGATATTTTTTTGTGATTGCTATTTTGTTTGTGCAGTATCAATTGTCTTCTTGTTGTTTCTTATAAAAAGTTAATTGACAGTATGATTTAATCGAATCAATCTATTCAAGTTTGTCGCTGTGTTTACAATAATACAATTACATATACCTTCAATTTAACCTTAATAATCAGTTATATCACATTTTAGATTTAACATTATTGTTTCATCAAACCCAGATTGAAAATGTATTTTCTTTTCTATTTTTGTACTTTTCTCTATTATTCTAACCTGTCTCATACCTATAAACCAAATTTCTACCCATTCATTCGGAATAGTTCTACTTGCATTAAGATGATATGTGCTAGTGTATGTCTATGCGTGATCGTGGCCAACCACTTTTTAGAGTTTCTCTCAGCAATAACATAATGAAAAACATATTATTTTCACCCACGATCACTCAACATTACGCTAGCCCATGGAAATATTCAATTCTCCTGCATATCATGGTACTACTCCCCGTTATGTCTAATGTAATAATTACATATTCGGTGCTTGCTCATCTTATGATCCAAGCGAAACACAATATTATGTACCCACAAAGAAATATGTTACCAGGTTCCAACTCTACTCGTAATTCAACTTTCACCAAATATCTTATGATTGCTCTTTCATTTGCCGTTTGTGTCCTTTGGGTATTTTGCCTCATTCTGAGAGCTGGCGACGTCCATCTTAACCCTGGTCCGGATTCGTCAACCACTAGTTCATCTTTATTTCCTTCAGTATCAAGTACAATATCAGAATTGATTGAGAACAGTAGATGCCTTTCAATATTACAGTATAATGTTCAAAGCCTCCTTAACAAGATAGATATCTTAGAAGCTGAGTTTGGTATGTTTGATGTCCTTGCTTTCAGTGAAACGTGGCTTAGCTCAAATACTCCTTGCAATGAAATAGCACTTAACAATTTGCATGCGCCTGAGAGGAAGGATAGAATAGAGAATTCTTATGGTGGTGTAATTGTTTATTTAAGAAATACTTTACACTACATAAGAAGATCTGATCTTGAACCCAATGGTCTTGAGTGTATTTGGATTGAACTGATGCCTTCACATTCCAAACGTATCCTGTTTGCTGTTTTCTATCGACCTCCAAACTTGTTACAGGAGACTTTAATTTCAATGACTCTAACCCACAAATGGCCCGCAAACTAAATTCTATATGCCAGCAGTTTAATCTAGAACAACTTATTCCAGAACCAACACATTTCACCGAATCTTCTAGTTCATTACTGGATCTATTTCTTGTATCCTGTAGCCACAGAGTAATTGCATCGGGAGTTGGAGAGCCGATCCTTGACCCAAAATCAGAGATTTCACTCCCAATAGTACTCTTTCAGAAAACCAAATCATAAACTGTACTGTACTGATCAAACGAAATTCTCCTCCAAACAGATTAAACACCAATCGAACGGTACTATTATTTTATTTCACACAGAAGTTAAGACTGGGTGGAAACTAATCAAATACTGTATCTCTCTCCCACTGATAAACAAAGCATTCCTCCACTTAAAAACCCAATCAACGGTGAACTTGTTTTTGATTCAAAATTGAAATCTGACCTTTTGAATGACTTTTTCTGTAGCCAGTCGTCGCTAAATAATTATGATAAAGAACTTCATTTTAATGATTGTAATATGCCTATAAACACACTTTGTTCCATTTCTATCTCTCCTCAGGATGTTGAAGACGCTCTGCTGTCACTTAAAACAAACAAAGCTTCAGGTCCTGATGGGGTCAGTAACCGAATATTGCGGGAAACTGCTTCAGTTATTAAATTTCCCCTATGTTCGTTGTTCAATCAGTCTCTTCTGACTTGTAAAATACCATTTACATGGAAAAAGGCCAATGTGCGTGCTGTCTTTAAAAAAGGTGATCCATCTGTTCCAAATAACTATCGTCCGATTTCCCTGTTGTGCTGCATAAAAAAGGTTTTTGAACGTATTATATTTAAGTATCTTTTTAATTTTCTTCAAGATAATAACTTTCTTTCTTCCGTACAGTCAGGCTTCAGACCAGGTGACTCAACGGTAAACCAGTTAACCTACTTGTACAACACATTCTGTAAAGCTTTAGATGACGGATTAGAAGTTAGAGCTGTGTTCTTTGACATAAGTAAAGCGTTTGATAAAGTCTGGCACAAAGGTCTTCTCTTTAAGCTGAAAGCTGCTGGAATAGACGGTTGTCTACTTAACTGGTTTTCTGACTATCTAAGTAACAAGCACCAGGCGGTTATCCTACCTGGGGTCCAATCAGAATGGTCGATAGTAAAGGCTGGAGTACCCCAAGGCTCCATCCTTGGGCCGCTACTATTTCTTGTTTTCATCAATGACATCGTGGAAGATATAGGCTCTAAAATCAATCATTTTGCTGACGATACAAGTTTTCATATTATTGTTGACAACCCTGCTTCTGCTGCTGAAACACTTCAATCTGATATAGACAAGATATCAGCTTGGGCTGAAAAATGGCTAGTTACTATCCATCGAAGTCTGAATCTATGGTTATCTCTCGTAAAAGAAATAAACCCTTTCACTCTTCACTTCTAGATCTCTTGAAGTGATATATTTAACTTTCATCCGACCGCTTTTGGAATACGCCGATGTTGTCTATCTAAACTGAACACAATATGAGAAACTTGAGCTTGACAAAATTCAAAATGAAGCATCTCGTATTGTGTGCGGTGCTACAAAACTTGTATCATTAGACAAACTCCATAGTGAAGTTCCTTGGGAATCCTTAGAATCTCGAAGAAATAATCATATGCTTATCTTACTTTATAAAATGAAAAATGGCTTAACACCAGATTACTTGTGTTCTTTACTTCCACCTACTGTAGGCGAAAATTCAAGGTACGATCTACGCAATGCTACAAATATTCAGACTATTCGAACACGAACTACTCTTTATCAAAATGCTTTTCTTCCAACTGCTCTGAATAAATGGAACGCCCTTCCAACTGAAGTGCAAAATTTACGTTCACTGTTTGCTTTCAAATCCCATTTGAGACGAAGCAGCTCTAGTTGTCCGATTTATTTCTATGAAGGCGATAGAAAATGGCAGATCTTTCATGCTCGACTTCGTACTGAATGTAGTTCACTAAATCAGCATCTATTTAAGAAAAATATTTCTCCATCTCCACTTTGTCAGTGTGGCATAGTGGAAAGTAATTACCACTTTTTCTTTGAATGTCACCGCTATGCTGACAGCAGGGCCTCTTTTATCTACTATTTGTTCAGCAACTCTCCAAAAGTTATTAAATGGAGACCCAAACATTAGTGATGATGCAAACAGAAGACTGTTTGAAGCCGTTCATACATACATCCGAGAAAGCAGGAGATTCTCTTAAGCATATTCACATCAGCTCAAATCAATAAATACTTCCCATCTAAATCGCCGAACTATCCGAATGATCCACATTTAATTTATTTTTTCTTCTTTTCTATTTTGCTGAAAGTTTCTTACTTCATTTCTTTCTATCTTAATTTACGTTATTTCTCTTTAATTTTATATAACAAATGATGCAGTCTTGTATTCTCATTCATTTTTTTGTATTAATTTTTGCTTTACATTATAACTAAATGTTAGAAACAATTTTGACTTTAACTTCTTAAAAACAATGTAAAATCAGATATATTTCAAGCAAGTCACATATACTGTCATACCGTATTTTATGCATTGTAAATCTATAAGGAGAAGGCCTTTATAAGCTCAGCTTTCGGACCCAATCCTTTTTCAGCATATTATGTTTGTATTGTGTACATTATTGTCTGTATATATATTGTGAATTTGTTCGAAATAAACTATGTTTAAACTAATGATTTTGAATACAAAAGACATGGGTCAGTAAATAAATCAAAAAGTCTACTTCATCACTAGCGACATTAACTTAAAAACCTTTTAATCCTAACTCTTTCTAAAGTTAGAATTCTAACCAAGATGTATGCACTACGAATATGAAAGACATTAACAGTAAATCAAATTAAACAAAAACTGTGTGAGCAAAGTATAAAATTCTAATTTTTGCACGACTGACATTGAATTTGACTCATCAGTCTCCTCACTCCGTAGAAAAGTAAAGAATCTCTAAAGTGACAGGCTATTGATATGATGATAGAAATTGTCTTTGCGAAAAGGGGAGACAACGTCCTCGTTTACCGAGTAGCTGCCCTTGACTTTAAAAAACATTTTTATTATTTCAGGTCATATCAAGGGTAGTTAAGTTAAATATTAAACATCACACTGGCCAAAGCTTTTGCAGAAGCGGTGGGTCCATCGGCCGTTTGCTGTTGTATGTAAGTATATGACTGATTTTTTTTATGTTTTAATGTTTACTGGAAACACTCAGAACACCCAGTGAGACTGGAGCCGACATATGTACATATGTACTCTTTCAACTTATTACGCGCAAACAGTGCAATTTATTGCCTTTTATGCAAACACATCTGTACAGTTTGACGAAGGGACGCCACTTTTGCCTAATTTTGGTTCAAACACGTACAAATCTGTGCAAAACGACCCTATAATACAACTGCATGTTGGTTCCAGTCTCACTGGAAGTGTTTCCAGTGAATCATTTAAACATTAAACAAAATTCAGACATATTCTTACAGACAACAGCAAACGGCCATATTTTATCAACCGCTTCTGCGACGAATACTCCACGGCCGCTGCAATGGACCCACCGCTTCTGCGAAAGCTATGGCCAGTGTGAACATTGTCATTTTGAAATGCTTTATTTTATTTAGTACGATATTCCATACCCAGTAATATGTACCATATGCGGGTCAAAATGAAACAATTCGCCGTAGGCTCTTTATTTGGTGATAGCCTTGAAAAAACAGAAGGATATATTTAAATATCATATTAAAATGAAGTATCATGACAGTATCAATAAAATACCTATCCAATAGTTGGCCAGAAAAATTTCAAAAAAAGATGTTCCGTTTTGTCCTAGACTCCCCTACTTTTCTATTTACCTTAAGAATAACGCCCTTTGGTATAACTCCACTTGATCCTTTCTTATAATGTTGTTTTGTATTTCCGGAGTTAAACCCAGTCTCTGTCAGACCATAACCTGAAAACAAAACGTGTTTTTGTTTAACTTTGCATACCTTAATAATATTAGCTAATGCTATGTAATGAATTGGTTCTAACTATTTAAGAATAGAAATAGGAACTGTACTCAGTAGATACCAAAATCTCAAACTCTTCTCGGAGTGCATGTAAAATAACGATATTTAAGGTTGACTTATAAGTATTACAAAATCTTTGTCACTGACATTCATTTGGCGTCAAATAACAACATTCGGTATAATGCAACATCTTTAAGATATACACGTATTGATAACCAATCAAATCATATAGTTTTCTTAGATTGACAACTGATTTTGATTTGATTTTCTTTAGAGCGGGTGGTCAAGGATAGCCTACGAAAGTGCAGCACTTATTTCCAGTAGGGTTCTCACCTTAGCAGACACTAGAGCCAGCTATGAGATACAACGGAATCCGGGAGCCAGTGCCGAGCTCTTATTGAATAGATCCCTTTGTTCTTTTACATGCCCAGTGTATAGCACTGACACATGCGAGGATTACCTGGGTTTCATACCAGTATACATCTAGGTAGGTGGGAAACACTGATAGTGTTTCTGAAAAATCCCAAGAGTGTTACCCAGGATCGAACCCGGAACCTCATGAGTGACAGCCAGTGGTCTAACCAACTGAGCTATCGCGCCGCCTGAAAGCGATATAACTTATGATATAAAATGTTATATCAATTTTTGTAATTTAAAATTCATCATGATGATATATGTAAAATACAAGCTTATGGTCAAATGTCCATGGAATTAGAATTCAATGTTCGAATAAAATATTTGATATTGCTCATTTATTCCATGTTTACCAAAGTGTTCATAAATAGTTAAACTCCATTTTCTTTCTAAATATAAAATAATGATCTTAATTTTTGATACATACTTATATGGAAAATTCAGCCAATTTCTAGAGGAATATTTTGTATAGCAGTACCTTGTCCTATAAAGTTCAAGTTAAACATTTCCATCAAGTGTTGTTCTATACCAATACCAAGAGGTGCAGCTGCAGTCATGATGAACTTTACACTAGATAAATCATACTTCCCTCTGTCCGCAAATTTTATCAATCGAGCTGCCATTGTTGGTACAATTTGTAAAAACTCAGCCTATATATAGATTAAAAACATGAAGATTTTTTATTATTATATGGAAGCGTAACTAATTTAAATGTAAGATATTGTATTGATATATAAATACATAATTATGGAATATGACGGATTCAAATGTTATGTATTGTAACTTTCTCTACATTATCCTGCACGGAACAAAAATATGGGTATATTAATTATAAAGGTTTTCCAGTGACAACATTTCGATGTAAAATGTTACATTTTCAATATTATACATAATAATAAATTAGCAAAAGACATCCCTAAAAATTACTATTAATTTGATATTTAGACTTCAACATTCCAGAACAGGAAAACGTCGTTATTCTTTGATTCGGTACCTAATTACAAGCAAAGGCTCCAGGAAATAACTGTAATATTACTACATGTAATCTGAATTGCTTAAAATGTTAAATTGTTACCCGGTATTGTTGTATGAGAGATAAAAATGTTTCCGTCTCGAACCTCTCCATTAGAACTATTTTCAGGCCCATAAACAACCCTGCCCCTAGTGCGGTGTGTACACCAAAATGATGAAACACCGGAAGTGACAGTACCGTACATGTACCTGGTTTCTGCTGCAAACTGTCTCTATAGAAACACAAAAATATCACCAGTGAAGATTGGAATATATGAATAAACTATCATAAGTGGGTTAATTATATGGTTACAATTAACATATATTAGTAAGGCAGTCTATAAAGTCCAAATGCATTTTGTTTTACAAAAACAGAACATTTATGATAACATGTTGTTAAGCAGTGATTTCATTTGAAAGTTTGTAGGCAAGGTGAAAGTGTTAAATCCTTCTAGACACAAACCAAAAGCCATGAGAGGTAAGATATTTAATATAGAATTTAACATCTTAGTAACAAAGGGGTTTAGCTAAAGAAGTTACATGTTGTTCCAATAAATAAGCCATCAGCAATAGCGTGTACCTACGTTAAATATAAAAATCAATCGGCACGCACGCACACGCACACGCACATTTGGTACCTGACTGAATAACGAACCGACCGTACACAATATACTTAATAAACATTATTTACCTCAGATGGATCATGTTAGATATGATGTTGATATGTGATAACCGTACAAATTTTGGCAACCCCGTTGTACCGCTAGACGACAACAATATTGAAGCAGTCGTTCTTGGATTATCGTCAGTTGCCGTGGTTACACTACCACTTGTAAATAAACTTTCGTACTGTATGTGTGACGTGTTGTTATCCCCAATTACAATGATTGCTGATAAAATATTGGGTTTAGAAAACGAGAACGAGCGAAGTTTCTGAAAGATTATAAAACAATTAATGTAGTAGAATTATATTGTTTTAATTAACTTATCGAATTTATTCATTTGCATACCATTTTCAACCAATGATATTAGTGCAAAATAACACAGATTTATAATTTTAAATGCATACTACATAAATAATTTCCAACTATATCAAATATTTTGACGCCTTCATCATTAGAATAGTTGTTGTTATTTTCCTCAAAACATGTCAACCATTCACCGCCTGGACCCAAAGTGATTACCCTTTGCCTACAGAATAGAGCCAGGCCGACTTGTACGTCTGTCCAGTCTGATTAGGCTATATACTGTTGCATGACAAACTTCTTATTTTCATCTAGATATACAAAAGTTAAAATGGCTAGTTCGAAAATGGAAGATGGACAAGCCAGTTTAAAAATTATTTCAGGTTAATCAGGTTAAGATTTCAAAGTCAATTTGTCTTCCCTATTGTAGCATTGATAAACTTACGATATTTTGAATCATAATTGAAATTCGCTTTGCCTGCTCTGGAGTTGCCACCAAAAACTTTGTGTTGCATTCTTTGAATCTTCTTTCAAGCTCTTCTTAAAAAATACACATTAAAATCGTTTGATAAATATCGTTTCTATATACTGTATTGGGTTATAATTAAAACAACACATATCTATGTGGTTAAATCTTCTGAACCAGATCTACCAATTCTATTGATTCATAATTCGTTTCTATATAATGTTACAGTACGCTTAAAGCTCATAAATTATGTTTCAAAATAATGAGAACGCCGCTGGAGACATGTACAACAAAATGCATCAAACTTATTGTACATAATATCTGGAAAGAAGTATGGTCAAAATAGTAACATAAAAGAACGTCCGAAAAAGAAAATTGGTCGATTTGCTACGCCTGTTCATGGACGATAGTGGTAAGTGCAAGCTACCGTCGATGTCTCCTATCATCGGATTTAACAGGATTTAACATTAAAACATGAAAATGGTAAACTTTCGAAATCAGCAACATAAAATAATAAAAGATCATCGAATGTTCGTCTCTTGTGTCTAAAATAACAATCTGACAACTCCACCATCAAAATTGATTAACAAAATGGATATCACTGTACCATGTCCTGTACACATATACCATACAAAAATGTACCATGTCTATCTGCAGCTTCGGCTCAATTTACCTTTTTGAGAGCCTTTATATTTTAACTTGAAATATGAAGTAGACTCGTTCATCCACAATGACAAGTAAAACATGGCCTTAATCGTAGATCTATGTTTATTTCTAATTCCCAGACAAACCTGGAACCTTCCTCCAAACCAATAGCCAACAGAGGCAGCACTACAAACTCATCAATTCCTTTAAACTAACGATAATATATTGATGTGTTGTTTTGTTTTTTGTTTTCTTTAAAGATGCATATTTTTCTCAGTAAACAAGAAATATACCATCTGTATATAACGGTGAAGCTGTCTGGAAGGTCGCTCCGATGAGATTAGCCGCATACCATATGATAGGATATTCTATTGTGTTAAATGTGAGGGCACATATAACATCTCCTTGACGCAAACAAAGTTCTCTAAGACCCGCAGAAAGTTTTTGTATCCGGTCTATAACTTGTCTGTAAGTGTAACTTTTCCTCGTCTTTGAATCTAACTATTCCGTACAAAAAGAAATGAGATTCACGTTGATGTTGATACATTTTATGAAACGAATAGAAAATGAAATTGTTATAAAACTACAATTACTGCCAATTCTCTGAACATGTTCTTTAATTCCATACTAACAACACCTTATATGTTGTGTTCCAATAGGTTTTAATGCCCCATCTTGCACGAAATGAAAACGCATGGCGAGTCATTGGATTTAAGGTTGCATATTAGCAAATATAAGTCATGTATGTATAGACCGTTTTGTAATATCAACTTTTACATAATTAACATTTAAATTTATATGTACGATGATGCATTAAATAGTACTACGCCATAATTACAAAAAAATGCAATGTATTCATGTATAAACATGACACTGTATATGTACTTAACCATTGGACGGCTTTTTGAAATCATGAAATCATTTCTTTCTTAAATAATTTGTTTAATTGATGTTTCACATTTAACATTATTGTTTTCTTTTTACATTAGATACACTTAGATACGCTACGACAAACTTATTAAAGCACCCGTTTGTGCCCGAAATAACGCACAGGGAGTGAGGTATTCCTCCACCAGTAAAGTTTCCATTTGACCTATACTGCGTAGTGCGATGTAAAACCGAATAACAATAATAAAAACAAATAAATAAATATAAACTTTACTTACTTACCAAAGCTATCGAGTCACCATAAGATTTCATCACATCTATTTGATATTGCGCTAAGTTTGCGACAGGAAAGTCTTCATTTTTAGAGTTTGTTGACATCTTTATTCAGGCAGACACCAAAGCAGTATTTCAGCTACTTCTTAATGAGTTCTTTTTAAAAAGCTGAGGAGAATAAAAAAGTATTTCATTGAAATTCTTGCCAAAAGCAAGTACTTTTCTTAATTTTTGCATTTTGATGACCCCAAATCCCCCCCCCCCCCAACTTTTTGTTTCAAATAATTTATAATGACTCTCTAAAAACCTGCACAGTTTCATATAATCGTGTCGACTAGTTTTTATTTCTGTACCAAATGAAGAAATTATAGGAAACGTCCTTAACAAGTCTTAAATGTATGTATGACAGACAACACGATGATAACTGTCTCAGTGTATAATATACAAACAGATTAGTCATAATCTCTCAACATTATCTTACAATATGCATTATCTTAGTGCACGTCCTTTCAAAACTAGTACGATCACGACTGAATATTCAATGGCATGGTTATTTTTAATATACATTCTAAAAGGCGTCGATTAATGTCTCGTTGATTTTTGTAGAATGACGCTTGCTTATTTTGTAATACACAATATTATACTGGTGCAACATGTTTATTTATTTTTGTTTTAATAATACACTAAAATCTAAAAAAAAAAGAAAAGAAAAAAAAGCACTGATAAAAAGCATACCTTTAAGTTATATCCAGATTTTCGCTTTAGATGTGAAGAAAACGTAGATGCCGTGTCACTAATTTGTTCAATTTGTTTTTCGAACAATTAGGGCTTTAGTTAATTTAGACCGTGTAGTAATGCAATATCAATGTTTGTATTGCATGTAGATGCAATCATTCAGTGTCCTATCTTGTGTATACAATTTTTAGCATTACAGCAACGGTATGTGAGGGCTTTATCTGGGTTGTAATATTTCTGTTATCTTTGTTGGATAAAACATGGTACATGTATAACGTTTATATGACAAGGTTAAAGGACACTAAATTTGGTATATTTTGTCAATACAACACTCATGGGAACTGATTACCAAGTTACAAATGTTGCCTCGGTGCATCATCATTCACGACAGTCAAACTAGCTCAAATAATAACATGTGTGCTTATTTCGGAATTACATGTTGTAGTTTTGAAAATGTCTCAGCCTTTCAAATATGCCGAATATCAAACTCGATAACATAGCACATTAGTTTTTGCATCAATAAATATCGACGAAACACAAAAATCGTCTTGCATTTGGTATACAGGTTGTCATTGTCCAATAATGAAAACATATATTAGCAAAATTAATGGCTTAGGAAAAAATAAACAAGAAACAGCTTAATCAAGATCTTAAGACTTATAATTTTGCAAATTGATTTGTAATTTGACTTAGAATCTATCTTTTGCGGGACATTTTTGTTGTTGATGTGTTGTATCTATATCGTTGCCTCTATCATAAATGTTGATAAAAATACTTACAGTAACAAAAAGCAAAAAAAAAACTAGTCTTAAAATGAAGATCTAAAGTTGAGGAAGTTTCGTTTAATCTAAAAGAAATAATCATGTCAAAACACTGACTAAAATCTGTACTCAAACTTTTCATACTCAGTTTAATATATACAACAAGATAAATTATCAATGCACAGTTTGTTATGAAGTAATAGTTTATTGTAAAAGCATCCGTTTTCATTTTTATTTTTTTTCATACAATGTCTGTGTAAACTGTATCTTTTAATCAGTAGTAGTATATTGTAATAAATTACTCGTCATAAGTAATCGATATTTTAACAAGCAACATAATGTTAAAGTTAGTCCAGAACATTGATCATATATCAGAACTGTTATAAAACATGTTCATTTAAAGTTTAATAGATCCTTCAGATAACATACATGTAGATCTAGTTCTTTTAATTTCAGTGCATGAAATCAAATATTACATCAAACATTTACATATGTAAAAACACACACTAAGCAAGCCCAGCAGCCATTAAATGTTCATATAACGATTGGTCTAATTCTGTTACTATGGTAACGTTTGCACCTTTCTGTAGTTTCCCTCTCCAGTCTACAACCATCTGACCATACGTGTATTGACCTTTGGTTTCTACTGTTGCGTATACGTGAACACTATTTTTGATGACGTCATTTCGAAGCACACAAGCCATTAAGGCTTCGTCAGCAGGAATAAATCCCGCTGTAGCTCGAGCTTTATCGAAATCGACACTTATTTTGTCAACTTTCCTCATTAGTTCAGCTTTCTTTGACGAAGAGCTTCTCATATGCTCGTGTGTCTCCTAAAATAAAGTAGACTAAAATAAATGCTCACTTTTTGCCATTTTGAAAAGCTGCAAAAAAAAGACATGACATGAAAATGTCGTTCTTGCCTCCCTTTAAGAAATCGTGCAAAAATCATCCAAGGAGTCACTATCTAAATGACTGATAATCATTTTCATTACATCTAATTTTAATCGCTTACAAATGTTTAACTTGATATTCCTTTTTAAACATAATCACTAAAATCATTTTTTAAAAGCCAAATGTTTTATATATGTGTGAGTTTTGTTACTTCTGCCTAACTGATAGTCATTCTTGTAAAATATTCTATTGTAATATATTGCATCAGGGAAGACCTGTTGAGTGAACTTGTGGGTCAACCCTTGTAACAAATATGTTATGTCATTGTATTGTAACTGTCTTTACATGTGTGTTATGGCAATAAAATCATTTTTAAATCAAATTATGTTTAAATCAAATTATTTTCACATGAACCAAACATGTGCATCAGCAAAGTGAGTCTCCATTTTACAAGAAATCTATTGAAGATTGGATAGATTGGATAGATCTATATCTTACTTAATTTATACAGGTTATCCATACAGCATTATTAGCAAAACATTTACAAAATAAAAATAAAAACAATGTCTTACATAAGATATAATATGTTGCATACACGTTTCCCATGGCATTATCGTAATTGGACATTTTAACTGATTTAAAACAACATAGGCAGCTTCCGGGTCAAAGTAAAAGTTGAACTCTGCTCCAACGCTGATGTTACCCTTTCCTAAGAAAATAAATGAGCCGTGTCACGACAAAACCAACATAGTGCGTTTGCGACCAGCATGGATCCATCCGCGCAGTCTGATCAGGATCCATGCTGTTCGCTTACAACCCAAATAACAAGTAGAGAAACTGACAGCAAACAGCATGTATCCTGATCAGACTGCGCGGATGCGCAGGCTGGTCTGGATCCATGCTGGTCGCAAACGCATTATGTTGGTTTTGTCGTGACGCGGCTCATTTCATTCTGACAAGAAAATAATACTGGTGGCTGGACCGAATATCTACCATCAGATAAATCTAATTGTTACATGTATAGTAAGCTGACATTATTACATGTATAGTTAGCTGACATTATTACATGTATAGTTAGCTAATCTTTATGGCAAAGAGTTCACTATTTTTTAACATTGGCGACACAAAATAGTTCTCTTTAAATGTTGTAAAGCTTTGAAATAAATAACTTTTCGTTTGATTATATTTTTTTCGTATGTAAATTATTGTAGTATTATAAATGCGTACCGGCTTAGATTGTTTTAAATTATTTTTATAAACAGTCGATTTACAAGATTAATTACAGTTTGCCGATATACCAAAGTAAATGTGTTACGATTCATTTGAAATACTACAATCCTTTTTGACAAAAAATAATTTCAAACACTAATATAAATTAATTTTATTTCAATTTGAATAAACTCGAAAACCCAACGCGAATGAATATTACATGGCAAAAGCGCCATGGTTTGAATTGAAGGACAGATAACTCTAACGTTGGTATGATAAAAATACGCAAGCGGACATATAATTATGATAGCAAAACAGGCACAACATATGATTTTTTATGAAAATAATTAAGATTTAAGATATAAAATAGATTAACTGAGTGAAAAATGTGACTCTGTTCATAAACACAATGCTTTTCCTTCCACTTAATAGTCATATCCAACCAATAAGGCCTTTGGGCTATATACTATAATAAGACTATATGAGCTGTGTCACGACAAAACCAACATAATGGGTTTGCGACCAGCATGGATCCAGACCAGCCTGCGCATCTGCGCAGTCTGATCAGGATCCATGCTGTTCGCTTACAAACCCTATAACAAGTAGAGAAACTGATACCGAACAGCATGGATCCTGATCAGGCTGCGCTGATGCGCAGGCTGGTCTTCATCCATGCTGGTCGCAAACGCATTACGTTGGTTTTGTCATGACAGGGCTCATTTTGTTTTGACACTATTTTAGTTTGATCAGACTCTGTACTGTTGGCTGACCAACTTCTAAACTTCATCTTAATATCCCTAAAACTGATAATGGTACTAAAAATTGAAGCTAGACATATAGGACTGAATAATTTCTATTTATGTCATGAAATGTATCTTTTTTACAAACATTTCTTCCGAAATTGTAGAAGTCAGAATAAATGATTAAATACCATACCTAGATAATTTCCGCCCATGATGTCACACGATTTCAGACTAGAACCAAACTCTGGATCCATTCTTATTGCCATTTGTAAGCGGTCCGATTGCAACCAAGTGTAGATCTCCTAAAGTAAAATGACATGCTTATTTTTTCATAAAAAAAAACAAGCGTTGTGCCTGTTTTGATAACATAGTTACATGTACTTTAAATGGTGCAAAACATTAAATAAATTACGGGTTTATAAAGGAAATGAAAAGTTACGTATGTGACACAGTATAAAACTAGAAATGTGTCCATAGGACACGGATGCCCCCCCCCCCCACACGCCACTGTTCTGTCAATCTTATGACTCTAGGTCAAATATTTTTTGGACTACATGTGCCACAAGTTGAAAACTAAAAATCAACAAAGGGCCATAATTCTGTTAAATTTGGTCGCAGCAAAAATTCCTTCCTTTACTACCATCTACACATTAAGGTTGTTCATCCCTGTAAGTTTAAGCAAAATCTGCCATCCGGTTTAAGAGGAGTTGTGTTCACAAAATTTCTACATAGTATCTAGTGAAAAAATCAACAAAGGGCCATAATTCTGTTAAATTTGGTCGCCGCAAAAATTCCTACCTTTACTACCATCTACACATTAAGGTTGTTCATCCCTGTAAGTTTAAGCAAAATCTGCCATCCGGTTTAAGAGGAGTTGCGTTCACAAAATTTCTACATACATGTGTAGTATCAAGTGAAAAAATCAACAAAGGGCCATAATTCTGTTAAATTTGGTCGCCGCAAAAATTCCTTCCTTTACTACCATCTACACATTAAGGTTGTTCATCCCTGTAAGTTTAAGCAAAATCTGCCATCCGGTTTAAGAGGAGTTGCGTTCACAAGATTTCGGGACGTACGGACGGACTGACGGACGGACGGACAAGTGCAACGCTATATGCTCCCACATTGTGGGGGCATAAAATGTTGTGAGAGTAAAGCCATACTAAAAGAATGTGCATAACTGCAGATTTGAACTCAGAAAAAAAAAACATTTTCATAACAAGAACCCATCATAATCTGAGCTATCTAACCACTACCCTACTCGGATTTACATGTCCATATCCACTTTTATTCTTCTATATTGCAATCTAAGTGCAAAATATAATAATTGAATAAGTTGCACAACCCATTATATCACAATGGTAGGACTGATTAATGTAAACGTTATCGTGTTCGACTTATGCTTTAAAACTTTACAATGTATGTATACATTCAATGGACATTATCATAAATATATCAAAAGAATAGGAAATCAAGAAACATATATAACAAGACTAGCCTTTATAAGCTTTTGAGAGTCGGATTAAAGCCAAAACACCATGTTCAGATTGAAGCTTGCTTTCGTCCGGTGCATTTGGATCCGGGACATCACCGAACCCGTCAGAACCGTGATACGCTGATCTTCCTTTTAGCTCACCTAATAATGGTGCGTCACAACCGGTATATACCGGAATCTGAAGTCAAAATTGTATGTCGTGCTTGAAGATAAGTCATACGATATTTAAACATGCACCTTTATGGACAGAAAAGAAAAATATATCCGCCCGTTTAGTGATAATTACAAAATAATCACAACCATCTCAAATAGGTGCTTAATTTATATTTGAAATTGGAAAACACTAGAGCAGCTCTTGTCATTGTTGCTTCACAAAATATGACATTACCTACGTCACCCAGGGCAGGGCCACATTGACACAAGGGGCTTGACAAATATCAGTTTTGTAGATGTCCACAAGTCAATGCTGCATGACTATCTATGCTCTAGACATTTTAGTCTCGCCCAAGATTTAAATGAGCCGCGTCATGACAAAACCAACATAATGGGTTTGAGACCAGCATGGATCCAGACCAGCCTGCACATCCGCGCAGTCTGATCAGGATCCATGCTGTTCGCTTACAAACCCAATAACAAGTAGAGAAACTGATAGCGAACAGCATGGATCCTGATCAGACTGCGCGGATGCGCAGGCTGGTCTGGATCCATGCTGGTCGCAAACCCATGTTGTTGGTTTTGTCATGACGAGGCTCAAATGTGTTTTTTTTCTATAAATGTCTATATAAACAAAGTTACCCCGTGATGAACGCCAAAACTTAAGTTCTTCATATCGTCTCATTGTAAGTAAGATTTATGTTAAATAATTTTAATTTCTTTTCAAACGATACAGTACAGGATTTAGATACATGAAACTGCTAAGAAACTAAATTCTTATTATGACTGTGACCTTGACCTGTACCTGAGGTAGGCCATAACTGCTCTTGTCATAGTTAACAATCTTGCCAAGAAGTTTCAATTTCCTTTTATTTACAAAACTTTTAACAGACAGACGGACGACGAGGTACATAATAATATACCCTGACTTTTTTCCGGGAATATTAAAAGACAAAAGAAACGAAAGAAAAAAAACATATTATTTAATTAATTTAAGAGAAAACGTAATATTTTAAAAATTTACATCTAGCCTATTGGCAGCCTCTAGAGCACGCAGTGCATTCAATCCTGTCTGACGTACTCGAGTGTTTCCTTCAACGCACGTGATTGCTTTAACATCAATTTCTGGGTCACTTAGCGCCATGAAAATAGCCATTGCGTCATCATTTCCGGGGTCACAATCTATGACAACCTTCCTTTTCGACATTATGGCAAATTCTGCTAAAATGAATAAATAATCGGTGTCTTCATGAATAGCATATGTACACTTTTTTTTCCTAGCATAAAGTTAATTCTTTGCAAAACCTACATAAACTTACATATGAATTCATGCAAAAAAGAACCGCAGCAAACAGCCAAAAATAATAGAACCTGGTTTAAAATTTTGGATTTACCCTTTACATGAAAAGCAAATCAGCAGGGGCATTCAAGTAGTGAAATAATATGTTCAATCACCGGATAATGCATGCGTACGAAATGGTCGGACAATACTATATCCACCAGTCATATATTTTACTGACACGAGGGTACATGTGAAACAGTGAAGTTTAAATACATTTTATCACTTTTCTGTAAATATACGGGACATTGTTTAGTTTTAATGATCTTTCTGAAGAAAGTCACACATCTTTAAGAAAAAGTGCGGAACTGTGCTTTATTTTAAGTTGAATCCCTGAAGCCGCTTGATATAAAGTTCTACTACATGCCGTGACCGACTATCCGCCGTGAATTTTATAAAAAAAATATTTATAGAACAGTGGATATATAAACACGTTTTGTCAATAGGTTTTTATTTATAAAATATAAAATTCACGGCGGATAGTCGATCACAGCGTGTAGGCTAGATAAAAAATATTTTGCCATCACGTGCAAATGGTTGAAATAGATATAAGTCACACATGTACAGCTCGAATTCGCTTTTCTTTTCATTATCTGTTTACATCAATATTGACAAATAGGTGTGTCGATAATTCTTATACAAAAGCATATTATTTATCGCCTAAATAATTAATCACCAAAATACTTACTCATTTTTAACCGTTCAGCATAATAGCGTAGTGGTTGAGTGGTGGCTTTCTCAGTGTAAAGACCCTGATTCGATTCCTGGACAAGGCATTTTTTCTTTTCTTTTAAATATATATATATTTTTTTCTTCAAAGATCTGGATTTAAGTTGCTTGTGAATTTAGTTCATAGTTCATACAATACTACCGGTATTTGAGAACATTTTGTTTTTACAAACATTCGCTTCCGACCGGTTAAGTTAGAGTGAGGATTGGAAGAAATTTGAATAGATAAATATACAATTGAGCCGAAATTGTTAAAAAAATCACAGTTATAAATAGCATTAAATTGACAATACTATTCAATCTGTTCAATGACTGTTAAAATCAAATACATTCATTTTTGCTATTTAACCGTTTTAAGTTTAACTGTAAATTGTACAAAATTATAAATCACAGGTTTATAAGAGAATATGAAAATGTTTTTTGAAAGTAAAAACCATACAAACACAAAATAATATTGCACAATTGCAGATTTGAACTCGGAAAAAAATCTAAACTTTCTCCTCATAATCTGAACTCTCTAACCACTACGTTACCCAGTTTTACTTATCCACTTTTATTCTTCTGTATTGCTATAAAAATGCAAAGTGTAATAACTGACCCATTATGACTCGTGTTCGACTTATACAAAATATGATTAATGACAATATAGAGACGATAGCGTCACTCTTTCTTAACTTGCTTAATCTAACTGAAATATTCCATTTTATAAAACACAAACGTTTTTAATTTAAAGGCATTTTTACAAACAGAACAACTAAATTACGTACAATTATTTTACCCAATTTTTAAACCGTGCCTATGTACAAATGTACAGCATAAAGAATATACAACTTACGTGTGTTTACATGCATATTTATACCTGATCATTTTATGCTAATTTTTAAAATTAGTCACACTCGATTTTATACTATACCACGGTCTTAACTTGATCATGAATTAACTTAATTACATTTGTACATTTGTGTTTATAAGCTGAAAAGAAAAAATGAAGAAGAAAAGGTGAAAAGGTAAAAGGTGAAATAATACGAAATATAACTTACCTGTGACGTTGATGGGCTCTTTATCAATGGTCGACACATTTTAGCATATGTACATAAATGACAGTCCTGAAACAGATACAAGAAATCGTTTAAGAGAACATTGAAAAAAAATAAAACTAGGTCACGGGGGGAAAATGGCCAGGTAGAAAAGACAAATTTACGAATAAGCAATCTATATCCTTTTTCATTTTGTCGCATTTTTCTTAAATAAATGACATAAAATAATTACAACGCATGGGTTCGATTGCAACGCAGTGCGGTTGGCTTAATAGCATTGATTTAATATTCATTGTTTAACTTACATATAACCAACTTTTAAATCAAGTACAACCTTTTTCTTCCTTTGACCTGAGAAAAAAATGTATATTTGGTTTAAAACAATAATATAATTATGTATACAAATATAGATGTATGAGTTCTGCTCATTGAAAAATCTTTTATCAAAAATTAGTCAAAGTTCAACAAACTATTTCGCTTTATTATTTCAATTTTTGTGTCCGTTAATGGCAGTAGAGGCAGGTGTGTGTGTGCGTGCGTGTGGTTTGCGTGTGTGCGTATGTGCATGCGTGTCTGTTTGTTTGTTTGTGTGTGTGTGTGTGTGTGTGCGAGCGTACGTGCGTGCGCGTGTGTGTGTCTAAATACGACTGAAAATTATCTCCTTATATTCAGATTGTGTTACTAGTTAAATATACAATCAAAATGTATCCAAAACGTTCGTAAATATACCAGCCATGCTCAAACATATAGCTGTTTTTAAATCTGAGTTGTGTGGTTTACATTTTTAAAAAGAGTACATCTTTAAAATATCTAGTTTTCAAGTAAAGCAGCAAAAAAGACAAGTTTTAACATCTGATACAGCAAAATCCATAAACGTTGCAACACATTAAGTGATATTACAATGCTTTTTGTGTCGTTTACTGTTGTGATTTGATGCCATATGTCGGCATTTGATCACCGATCGCGTTTCAACTGTTTGAACGCACATTTAACTATGAAACAGAATGTTATTCTTTTCAATTTCTCTACCATTGATTTCAAAGTCATCGGCTAAGTTGCATACTGACACAACACTTTACTACTGAGCCAAAGTTAAATGTTGTATTAAAGTGCTATATTTTGTTAAACAAAAGTGCGAATTCAATTTGGAAAATGCCAACCCGCCTGTGATTCGAACACGCAATCACTGGCTTGCAAAAAATAACAACGCTATTAATTAGTGAGAGAATTTTAAGTGAAAGCTGTGAGAGAGTGTACAGATCATATACTGGTAACAAGACTTCCTTTTACAGAAAACATGCTGGTTTTTATTAGAGTCTAGAGGGGGTATATTGGATAAGCCCTTACTTCAAAACTGTAACACAAAGATACAAAATATATAATAATAAGAAATCTTTTACAAAGATACAGATACTCGAGCGAGATGAACTTTATGGTGGCATATTTCTGCCACAAGATAACCACATAACTAACTAAAAATTAAGAGCTTAACTAGTTACGTAACTAGTTAACCTCTTAATTAACTAGTTATTTATGTGGTTAACTAGTTACGTAACTTGTTAATTTTTCAATAAATAAAAGATCATGTTAGTACCTACAATTGTCATCCTTTTATCATTTTACCAGCTGACTAGTATGTAACTAGTTAACCAGTTACCATTTAGCGAAATTTTGGATAAGTGGTAAGTGATTAACTAGTTACGTAACTAGTTAATCACTTAACTAACTAGTTAATTATGTAGTCAACTAGTTACCTAACTAGTTAACCACTTTACATGAAGCTGGTAAAATAATAAAATGATGGCAGTTGTAGGCACTAACATGCATTTATTTCCCGTTATGATAACCATATAACGTAACTACTTAACCTCTTAATTAACTAGTTAGTTATATGGTTATCTGGTGACCAAAGTATGCCACTATAGAACTTATAAGTCGATTTTGCGTTTTCTATTGTTTATTTAACTTACTAAATGAATGCAGGATAATTACTCTTTTGTTCAATTTGTTCATGTGAATATCTTTTTCTCCATTATTTCAATAATATGATTTATTTTCTTTATATGTGTTTGTTTTATCAAGTAAAAGCAAATTTCGCCAAAGACCTGAATCTATGTGTTCTTTATATGTGTTTGTTTTATCAAGTAAAAGCAAATTTCGCCAAAGACCTAAATCTATGTGTTCTTTATATGTGTTTGTTTTATCAAGTAAAAGCAAATTTCGCCAAAGACCTAAATCTATGTGACTCGTTCAATAACAGTGACATGAACATATGAAATAAACGTTATATTGTACACGAAAGAAAATATAGATTTTGATATATAATCTAAATATGTGCGATAGCCTTAAAATAAGGTATACACATTTTGGGGACAAGGGTTTTTACCATTGAACTCGTGGCCTTGCGCGATTTAATAATTAATGTGTCTTGTTTCTTGGCAACATTGGGAAAGGTTTAATATGATCAATGAAATGTCGCTTAAATGCAGTTCTTACTTGTACATTTTATAGGAATCCAAGACGGCCTTTGGCAAATCCTTGCAACCCTTTGAATGATTCATACCAAGGTGGTAAAAGCAAATTCACATTCGTTGAAAATAGTTTACGACGAAGAAAATTATTTTCTCTATACCCCTTAATTTTCTTCTCAACTCAGGGATCTGTATTCGGTCCCACGTTATTTATTCATTTTAATAAGACTTTTGTAAACAATTAGATGCACAGATTAGATATTATATTATTTAGTTAATACATCTAATGATCAATCAATAAATAGTCATATATCATATTGACTGTTCTTATATTGTATTTGTAAGCATAAAAGCTACATTCACATTTTGCAAATTAAAGGATTGAACAGAATGTAGCTGTTTATTGATATTTGAGCCGTGTCACGACAAAACCAACATAATGGGTTTGTGACCAGCATGGATCCAGTACAGCCTGCGCATCCGTGCAGTCTGATCAGGATCCATGCTGTTGCTATCAGTTTCTCTACTTGTAATAGGTAATAGAGTTGGTAAGCGAACAGCATGGATCCTGATCAGACTGCGCGGATGAGCAGGCTGGTCTGGATCCATGCTGGTCGCAAACCCATTATGTTGGTTTTGTCAGGGCCCGGCTGATTTTATGTTTCAAGCTCGTTACATTCCAGTTATACTGGTTAGATCTGACCTTCACACATAGTCGACATGATCTTCTTCAACGGTTTGATAAAGGATTAATATACGCTCAAACCAAAGGTCACAAAAATGTTGTTGTTTTTCTTTTTTTTTTAACATCTTTTCAGTAGGAATGTCCTCTTTTTGAAACACATATTTTTTCTAAATACCTCATTTCCGTTGCAATTAGACACAAATCTAATCTTTGAACACAGTATAAGATACATCAATATTAACATAACAATAAAATCGTTATATTATGTAAATAAAATAATACTGTTCAAAATAAGAAATAATCGACTTGAGACACCCATTACATATTTCATGGTCTGCTTATGTCAAATATCATAATATATCAAAACATGAAATATTGGTGTCGAAAATATTCTAAAAATTTATAGAGAAACTACGGTTTAAGCAAACGCCGAAGCAGTCTTACTGTTACTTCCCAGCAAGACTGAGTGAGGACGGCTTCGGACGCTCCTTCTGCCAGTAATAATGCAGTGTACTTCGTTAGAACTAATGACCTTCCGATGAATTTCTAATGCCTTTGACAGGATTTAAAACCCAAAGTGTTCTTAATAGCTTTTGAAAGGATATAAAACCCAGTGTTCTAAGTAGTAGTGGTGGTGATGGTGGTGGTAGTAGTAGTAGTAATAATAATTTAATAATAATAATAATTTAATAATAATAATAATAATTATGATGATGATGATGATGATGATGATGATGATGATGATGATGATGATGATGTTGTTGTTGATGATAGTGATAAAAGAGATAAATAACAAAATGTCCTCTGGTACTTTACATAGGTAGAGTTGTGCTTAATGTTAATGAAATAATATTCGATCATTATACATGCCACGAAATATTATCATTTTCTTAAATATACCAGCC